ATTCATTTCATTTTGTAACATCGATTACATAAAATAATTTGAAATAATTTACTCCAGATTGTTCAAACAGAGGGTTGATATCCTTGTAGTTACCCAAGAAGGAATCGTCCGATGATCTATTCCGATGTTTTCGATTCAAGCTTAGTACAGAAATAAATCGTGATTTGACCTAGTTATTTAGAAACGATGTATCGATGTTTATGACTACTTGTCGTTTATTGTTGATGCTGACGACAAGCGTGGACGGGGGAAATCCGTGGTCGGCGACAAAGTGGAAAAGTTCGAACAAGTGGGTGTGTTTTGCAAGAAAACGATAGTTAACTGTGGACAGACGCCAGATGAAAGATGCCGATAAGCAAAGGCGTCGTAATTTCTGGACTCTGGCCACTTCGAAGGGTGAGGCCACCGCCGAGTTTAGATTCCCATCAATCGACGCCGTTTCCAACTTTATCGTAACGACATTGCGAACACTACTGGAACGAGTTTTTTCTACGAATTCGACAAGATCTACATAATAAAAATTCAATTCCTGACACTAATTCTTCTTTAACATCTTATTCCCCTTTAAACACTTCATATTTGACAAAAGTTGAAAGCAACAAGTGGAAGAAGCATTTATGTAATTGGAGGAGAAAAGAATAGAGTAAAATTTCATTGTTAACCATCTTTACATGCGTACTTAGTCGTGCCACCTCTTGTTTTCTTGTGTTCCTGTGACAATGCATTTCCAGCAAATACTTAACGCATCTCTACTTGCAGTCAATTGTGAATACACTGTTTCCAGTTGACATATAATATCATGAATAACTCTTTTCTCTATAAAAGAAAATATGCATTTTAGATAATTAATCAATTTGTACGCAAAATGTTCTTTCTAATCTGAACAATTAATACATTCATGTACTGCAATACATATAGGCATACGTAAAGTGGAGTTGCATACGTATACCTTCATGTTCGATCCGCTGCTCTTTTTTAGTTCTCCGACCTGTCACTAGGTGGCATCCGAGACGAGATGATTCTCACAGGGAAAAGGTAGCGGCGGTGTTATTAGTACCCCAGCGAAAGATAGACTCGTCAGCTTTGCGCAGTGGCGATATCGTAACCAATGAGGTTCTACCGAGGTGCGATTATTGCTAGTTGAAAACTTTTACCAATACCCCGCCATGACGATGTGAAATACCATCGGCTACGGCAATTTTTGAAAGTTTCTGCGGAAACTGATATTCTTATATCCAAAATAAATTCTTACTTACAGCTTACCGGAAAATTTCGGTTGGAAAGCCTCTTTTCTCTTTTTATAAGGAGAAGAAGAGTAATAAAATAATCCGGAACTGCGGGAAATAATCCTATGTTCCTTTCTCTTTACAAGAAGAGAAAAATAATCAGGAACTGCTGCAACTTTATCCTATGCATTGTGTTTCTGATTGTACTATGTCACGAAACATGATGGCATGAATGAATGTTGGTAGTTAAATGAAAAACAGTATGAACAAGATACATATTTCACTTACGGAGAACAACTAGCATGTAGATAATAGATGTGTGGGTATTCAATGACGTCTGTTGCATACCATTTTAAATTTTATCAGACTCCTTCCATTCAGTCTGTAAGATAGAGTATAACGAGTTATTTTCAGATAGTGTTATATTTAAACGGTCTTTATCTTTCTCAGGAATTACTGAGTATCATTAATCATGCGCAAAGAATACAAGTGGCATATAACAAGTAAAAAAGAAGCAACCTTAAGAGTACTAAAATAGTTCTTTTAACATTCTAATTACAGGTTGCTGGCAAGAGGGAACCAGAACAAGAAGCCGAGGCTCAGCAATGGATTGAAAGAGTGGTTGGGGAGAGATTTCCAGCGGGTAAAATTAAAAGCTCCTGTTATTTAACCATAAATAACAAATTCATCTCTACCTACATTCTAACTTGTCCTTATCTAATTACCTTAAAATTACATTTATATAAATTACCTTGAATTCTATTATTCTACTTGCATAATCTTACGAATGTGTCAATATGCACGCTTGATTACTTTATCGATGACGTCACTTTGATTACGTACTTCTGGTATAAACTCCTGTTCTTGGGAGATTGTGCAGTTCGAAAAGCGTGTCAATATCGCCACCCCCGTTTAAGCCAGCGCACTGCGCACTGAGCTAACTGGAACTCTATAATTCCCGGGTAGAAATGTTAGGCAGCGTGACGTCGCAAAGGTTAAGCTCATTGGCTAGGTCAGTTCCTGAAATTGTTCAATAGAATTGAATGAACGTGAAATAGTATTTGTATAGTACTTGTTGCGTTAAGTACATTGGCAGGTGGAGTTCAAACGCTTTAAGCAAAGAGTAATTATTGATCTATACTATAACAGTGAAATTCTAATTCGTGCATTAGAGTATTATATAGAATATTACTTTTTGTAATAATTTACAGAGAAGTGTCAAGAGGGGTAGATTCCACAGGGGTGGTTAACCAAGGATTGTTAGGGGTAGTTGTATCCTTCATTCAGGGATGTTCTCCTAGTAAAACGCGCGCTTTGTTACGTCATTCGAGTCACCATATTGCACGAGAAGTGGGTAGCAACCCCTGTGTCTAACGTGCACCCCTGGTTTGAGAAATACGCCAGGCGTCGACGCAGTCGCCTTGTTGGACATATGATTCCACGTCTCCTAATTTATATAAAAATTAATGTAGCATTAGTAACATAGACCAAGAGAAAAATAATTATTTTCCAATACCTCAAGACCTAAGGGGTTGCCTTAAGAATAAAGTTTCTAGTGAAATGTTCTTTTAAACAGTTTCATTTTTAATTTGTATCTAAGTTGTATTTTACATGCCTTTAAGATGAACTGTTACACGAAAGGTGGCCAAGCTGTGTTATTTTCACTTAGTTTTTTATTTAATCCAAGCAAACCCTTTCTCCAAGTGATAGGTTCGATCACGAAGAAGCTTCCTTAACCAAGTGCGAGCCTGGTGTTCGCTAACTCTGATCGCACCTGTTATAAGCTTACCGTCACACATGATCTAGAAGAAAGTAAAGAAATTATTTATAAAAAAAGGATTTATGTGTAGACGTGTAATAGGCGATTATACTTTTACAGAAAAAACTGCATTGTACCTAAATCTTTTATCTACTTTGCATCCCTGAAGTCAAAGTTAGTATCGTGTCATTGCAACTAGCAAATTGTTCTATATTACGTTTGAATTTTAAGATAATTTCTTTCTACGACATTGTAGGTTTTTAGTTGAATGTGACATAGTGTTAATATCACCTACGGTCTACGTCGTAGAGTTTACGGTACCGTAAAGCTCCACACGGTGATGCGAGCCGCGTATTCGAAGCTTTTGATGTTATTGACTCGTTTAAAATTGAACTTGGACTACCGCCATTCGATCGTCTCCGCGTCCATCTACTTCCTCTCCTTTAGATTCAACCCTAACATCATCGACCGTCACGATAACCAGACAGGAATCCGGTGCATTCCAGGATCACTGAATCCTTCGATTGTGGATGTTAGCCTGTTCCTGGAAGCTCGCAAGGCATGCTGGACACGATCTTCTTGTAGCTCTTTACATACCTTCGAATATTTTTTCGGTGAACCGGTAAATTCTGTTGTAAAACGTTTCTATATCTTGAAACAAAGAAATCTAGATATCTAAATGATAAATACATCTGTTAATAAACAAATAATTGATCAGCTTAATATAACAAATATGAAAATTATTAATACGAAGATTTCATTTAAAACGCTAGAAAATGAAAGACAATTTGTCCGTGTGATTAGAAGTATCCAACGTGTATGTAACTACAGATATTTATCGCTAGTTGCACAGGAAGTAAAAGCTTCTTAGCTGAGAGTCTCGGTTAAACGACGTTTAACAATCGCTTGACGACGACGTATATTGATTTAGCGTCATCTGTTCATCATGTTACGTCGTAAGGACGCCAACGTATCAGGGCCGCATACAAGAGACCGGATAGTCAAGTCGCAAACATCGTATTGTGTCATTTCTTCTTTCCTCTTGCCGGTATACCCCTCTCAACTTCCTCTTTGTACATACAGCCAGTCGAACGTTAGGAGTTCCTCACATTGATAACAATTTTGCTTACCTAAATAATATAAACAATTTTTTAATATTATATCTGTTACAAGTAATTCAAACAGGTAGTTACCAAGACAACTACGATTTTAAATTAATATATCATAAGCATAGCTACCTTGATTTCTATCATACTACTTCATATCGTTGAGAATGTACCTTTAACTATGATTGGATGGACACGAAGGGTTTTAGGAAAGGGAAGTGTCAGTCATCCGTTTGTCACGGTGGCACAAGTAGCTTGCTGGCACCAGGGAACCAGCAGACGTTTGAGGGATTTATGGCTTTCCCGCCACGTCGACGTCAACGTCGACGAATCGATGCGTCTTATTTCTGGCGTCAGGCTTTTTTTTTTAAACCGATACAATCCGTTGGTCCCGTTTCTCGAGGACATCGAGTGGACACGAGCTGTCGACATGTCGAACTGCTCGTCACGTAACGTTGCGTGACGTCACGAAAGCTCGTAGTTACTAGGGTAGCAACGACGGGTAGTAGATGAATTTATGGCTCCCTCACCGACGCTTTGCTTCGCGTGTCGGTGCCTACCCTCGACCGCAGCATCTGAAAAATAAGGAAGCTTTTCTCAGAAAGAAATCACGTCTCGATGATTCGTCCTGATAGAACGGTTCTCTCGAGAGACGTCAACGGATGTCAGTTGTCCATCAAAAGATCGTCAATGACGTCATTCTGAGACAAGGCTACCAGGGTTACAGCCCCGGGGTAGATTTACGACCGAAAGCAACAGGTGGTTGCCTGGAGGTATGTTTCATCTAGGGGTGGATACCAAGGGGCGTGTTTTGTTGCCGAGGATCAATAAATTCAAGTTCTCGCACTGCTATTCTCGCGCAAATCAAGTTTCCATTCAATAAAAAACTGAACATCGTTAAGACTGTTTTTCGTTTATGCATATGCATTATTCAAGGATTGATTTTATAACAATGCAAATTGTAGGTAGCGATGAGAACAAACGACTGGTACTGCTAACGTTGCAAAAATGGAGGGAAACTGGATTCTGCGTGCGAGAGAATTCATCCCTCCGAGACCTGTTGCTCATGGTTGGTCATAAATTCAAGCCGTGGATGTTGCCCTGATGAAAAGCGTGTGTTTGACGTCTTTATGACATGAAACTGACGTTAAATCGATACCGAAGCACGCAAACGTTGGCTGCTTGAAATCAGAATCCCTTTGAAATGTATTTCATCCCTTTGTAACACAATATTCATCGAATGAATCATACACCATCTAAGATCGTGTATTACTCTATTTTTTGTTCATACAGTAGCAGTAATTAGTTTGCAATTACCTTCGTTGATTAATTATGTAGTAAATTATAGCTCGTGATAATTCTGATCACCTACGTCCACTTGATTATCTTCATCCAATAAGATATCTACAACATAATATTTGAAGTATCGTTTCTGGCTTCTGCTTAACATCAAGACGTAATTTGTAATTACTTTCAAAGCATTTACCTATAAATGACATATGTGTGCAAGTGAAGCGTACTCAAAGGGGTTTATTGATTTAACGTCAAATTTGTCGAGACATGACGACCATGACGTGTCAACGTAACAGGATAGTATCTAAAGTTGAAATAGTATCGATTCACCAATACATATTGTTGCGACTCGATATTTTTTTGACGCGTAGTAACGGAACAAACGAAGACAACAATAAGACACGTAACGTCTGAAAAATATCAGGCCACCATCACTCGACGGTGTTTGTCCGGGCATAAAAGAAAGCAGCGAAGAATCGCGAGGAACCTGGACCACATCTGAAGGTAGCTTATCGATTTTCTGTCATCTTCCTACGTTTACGACATCTCATCGCGTTTCGATGCTACCAGGAACGTATCAGTATGTTACGTTTGTTTATTTCATCTACCCGCGTTGATCTATAGAGGTGGATGCTGCTATTGCTCCCGGCTGTTGCCTGGATATCGTGGAAAAGCGTCTGATTTGCTCGACTCGTTTCACTTGCATAGTCGAGGCACGTAGTACCAATGTTTTCGCTTGAAAAGCACTCTATGCAGTTTCCTTCTGAACATGATTCCAGAATCTAGAAATAATTAGATAATTAGATTATTACTTAATTCCTGAACAAAGTTTAATAGTCAGTTTAAAAAAAATTGTATTATCTTTTACCATTAAGTATAAATTAGGTCTATTTTCCCAAAAGAGAAATATCCTATAAGTATTCAATTAGATATTCAGAGTAATATTTCTTCTATTTGACTTGCTGCATTTAACTATAAAACTGATGGTCCTTTCTAAGTTATTATTTGAAAGTCGAAAGAGTTAATTGAATAAAGCTTGCCAATGTACCGTAATCGGCTGTCGAATGCTCGTCAATCGAAAATTCAAGCACATGACCAGGTTCGTATTAGGCGAGCAGATTTTAGGGTAAGTTTAGCGTCGTCTCCTCCACCGTAAAACCACGTGACATCTCGTCCTTGCAGGATCAGGGTAGTATTCCTTTGAACAATTAACGTACGTTGTCTAAAACTGTTGCAAAAGAACTAAAAATTATTTTTTGAAATATATAATAAAATGTGAAAGATGTTCAAAAGCATAAACAGCGCACCTCTGTGGTAGAAAGCTAAAAATTGTTATTACGTCCTCTGCAGGATAAATGTTCTTCAGTGATTCATCTCTGGACATTGCATGCTATTTCCTAATTTACATCCACGCAGAAGGCATAGTTAGAAACTTACTCAAAGCTTAGTATGTTTTCTTAGTAACTCTGTAACTTTCATATTCATAGATGCTGTATATATTATCTATTGCTGCATCATGCAACTGGAATATAGATTAAAATTAATTCATATTCTCTATTTCAAGACACAGAGTCGTCTATAGAGATACAAAGACCCAGTACACGAATCCGTTCATTTCTGCTTCTCCTAAAATGTTTCATAATATGTAAATTACTTCAACGATAGAACTTATCACTTATATACATACAGAAAAAAATACCCAACTGTTGCGCCTGTTCGACCGCAACGCTTTCTCCCGCGGTTTGTGCATCGATACAATTTACCAAGCCGTTCGCCAGAGAGCGTACCGCATCAATAGGTTCGATATATTGAAACGTCAACCGGCAGATGGTGGGAGAAAAAGGAAGTTGACACAAAACGATACATGCTTGACGCACCGGAACCCATGCTCTTGAACGATGCTGAGCCCCTGGTAATTGGAGATGCGTTGTGTCTTTCGAATGGCGACGAGAGTGCCTCGGTACAAACTGAACGACGACTGCAAGACAATGATGGCGTTGATCGAGACACCGGTCAACCGCAAAAAGAGCGAATGACGGAAGACGGAGGCGGTCTTTCCTGATCCTTCGGTTGTCCGGCAAAAAATGGCAAGCCCCCTTGGCTCGCCTCTTGGCATAATGGGGCGCCATGAACGAGTGCTGGTGCGCCTAGCCTCTGTTATTATTTCGCGACAATCTCAACCATAGTGGGAGGTAGCCAAGGGGAGGTTAAAAAAAAAAAAAAAAAAAGAGAAACGCTTCGTTCAATTTAAGCCGATAATCGTGCGGTGGCGGACGATGAAAATCGATGGTTCACGCGAAGTGCGCATGTCATCCGTTTGCGGAACTCGCGCTTCGCCCAACGGGGAAAAGAAGAAATTTCTTTTTTCTGTTATCCTGGTGTCACTGTGGTTCCTGGCATTCTTTTCATTGTTCATCCATTCGCTTCCCCTTTTTCCATATATCTTAAACTAGCTCGTTCTATTTGAATTCAATAAAAATTAAATTATGTTCCAGGTGTGAGTTATGAAGATGCTTTAAGAGATGGTCTGCTGCTTTGCAAATTGATGAACAAACTGCAGCCAGGTCTCGTCAGTAAAATCAACACGTCTGGTGGTGATTATAAGATGATGGACAATCTAAATCAGTATGTATCATATTATAACATGTCCTAATTATATCAAAGCCAAGAATGAAGTGTATGCTCAATATGTACTAACTTGTTTACAATACCTGTTGCATAGAACAGGAATACGATGAAATATCAGTACACAGAAAGAATAATCCCTCTAATTTATACAAGTGGAACTTTCTTTGATTTCATGCTTCCCTGCTGTGCATTCGACTTTACGCAATCGACAGTGTTTTGCTTCTGAACGATTCTCGACTGCAACCTATCGACGTCGAAAGAGCATTGCTTGCCTCGCCGGAATCGAGAGATCTAGCGATATTCGATTATTGATCTCGAACTGTCCCCTCGAGAGCCTTCGTGCAACCGCGAAACCCAAACGCGTTATCTTTCTGAAACATGAACAGATATCAATCACACTTGAAATTATCACTGTCACAATACATGCGGAAGTAAGAAGATATATCTATTACAGAAATTATTATAATTTCTATAATTGTCTCTTTGTATCTTCTTTTTTGTCTTACTCTTGATCAGTATAACAGTTGACTCGTTTGATCCCAGTGGTTCCACGATGAAGCACCGTCGCGTTAGATTGAAATCCAAATAAACTGGCAGAGTGTAAAGAGATATCTTGATAATTTCTTCGGACAAAGTGCAACGACCATGACGTTTCTTGCATTTGACCATCGCGTTTGCGTGCGCATGTCGGCAATTGGCGCGTTTTCAATGTTTAAGAGCGCTTTCCTGAGTAGTGGGGCAAACGATGCGCAGCGCGGCCACTCCGCGTTACTCCCTTTCTACGCGGACTGCAGAAACAATACAGAGGTTGTGGACTTCCGTCGTATGCTCCGTTCGTTTCTACGTTACTGATACCCAGAGAGCTCGTTAACACTGGCCTGCCTCACGTTTCTTGCATCACGAGACACGTCGTGTCGGATACCGACAAAATGGCGACTCCATAAACGAGCAACACTCGAGTTTTAAGCTGATCTCTTTCAATATTACCTTCTAAAATAAAAAATATTGTTCTTTTATTTCACATCGTGTATATCACTGTTGTAGATTTATTTTAGTTATCAGAATTGTTAGATGCGTTGCACTGTTTAATGGGATATTCCCTTATGATTTGCATATATCCATTACGAGATTAAAGAGATTTCAATGATTATCCCTGGGGCTTAGAATAATTACCTGTAACCGTATCGTTCTCATATCCTGCTCTCCTATTAAAAAGGGACGCCGGACGCGTTAATTCCACGCCGTGGAAAGCGGAAATCTGTGTAACTGCAGCTATTATGTACGCATTTCAGATTCCAAAAGGCCTGTGTAAAATACGGAGTTCCAGACGTGGACCTGTTCCAAGCGGTCGATCTTATAGAGAGGAAGAACATAGCACAAGTGACCAACACCATCTTCGCCATCGGCCGTGCTGTAATGATTTTAATAAAATATATATTTTCGTAGGATTTTGTGTAGTCTCAGGGAAATTAACAAAATGATATTGATTCACAGACATACCGACACCCAGAGTGGCGTGGCCCTTGGTTAGGACCAAAACCAGCAGAAGAGAACAAACGACACTTCACAGAGGAGCAATTAAGGGCTGGTGAGACTCTCATTGGTCTTCAAGCTGGTACCAACAAAGGGGCCACTCAAGCTGGTCAGAGCTTCGGTGCTACCAGAAAAATTCTTCTTGGAAAATAATGTTCACGAGATATTTTATGACGCTACTAAGGTCTTTTAATAGTTCAAGACCAATTCTAGAAAAAATCCGCATTCGTATCATGAAACAAACATTGATAAGAACATCATTAATCCTGTTAATAGTTATGATTTAGATATACAATAATAGCTTGCTCAATAGTCATTAATTGTGATATTCAATATTATCAGTACAATGTTCTAAATAAAAACATTATTGTAAATGCTGCTCCAATAAATACACAATTCATATATCAATTAGAGAGTGTTATTATGATACACCTTATCCATGCAATAATGCTCCTGTCTCGACGTGCACGTGCGTTTCCTTGTCAGTAGTATAAGACACGGATGTACGGCCAAGAAGAAATACACTATCGAGGTTGACATGTAAAGCGTTCTCGCAATACGTGTACATATTCGTACTAGCTTACGTACGCAGGTAGAGAAGCACGTACATGACGATGAGCCACGTACGTGACAGCAACGATGAGTAGGCGTGACGTGTACGTATACGCATTACACGCATTCCTCGAACAGTTTCTACACCGCAAGGCTCCCCATTGAACAGACAAACATCTCGAGCTAGGAGGTTGACAATCCAACCGTTATCCCTCGTAGTTTCATTCATAACTCGGTCGATCATTTGAAGAAAATTTTCTGCTACCATGCAATTACTTACATAAGCTGCATTTTCGTCCACCTTAAAGTTTACATTATTAATCATATACCTATTTAAATTATACAGTAGTAAGAGAGAACATCATGTTACCGTGAAGCAATTAATTTAAAAGATAGAAAGTATTGTACAATAATTTTATGGTTTTTAGTTTTTATACAAATGCATGCTTTGAAAATGGTACCGCTTGCGCCTTCTAGCGGTGAAATGCGGAACTTTGAACTACTGGTACATTATCAGTAACCGCGTATTTGTACAAATTTAATAAATACCTATAATATTAGAACAATACTTGCACAATATTTTCAAATGTTTAAGTTAATTGCTGCCTGATAATATGATACTCTTTCCTGTCACGGTACGAATTGAATACATAGTTACAACGTTGTGTAAGATGATGCTAGTGTCTGTAATCACATTTCTAAGAAACATCTCTCAATGGAAGTCGATGAAACAGAACGAGGAACCTCGATATCTCTTGTTAGTCCCGAGAAATGACGTGTTAGGTGGTTGATCGTGGGGCAGGCCAGTTCTTGGGGTCCCCCTGTAATAAAATTGTATAATCAGTAAGAAGGTTTGTTAATCTGACCGTTGAGAAGCTTGTAATCTCTTTAAGATCTACTCTTCTAATCAGGCACTGTGTTCTAGTAGCAGGATCGCAGGAAGAACAGAAAATACATCATCACCCACGCCAATAAGAAACAACCTTCCTTACTTATTCTGTGTTCCTACTGAAAGGGGAGCGCTGCGGAGTGGCCGCTCCGCGCATCACTGCACCCCACTATTCTTCACGCACTCGTAAACCGCGTACATACGAATCATGTTCACCTTTTAGATTTTAGACCCTTCTTACTGCAACTGCAATTATCTCCACTATAAAATACAGATTACGTAGTCAATTGTTGGATAGTTCTTACAGATCCGGTATTCTTCGGCAAGAATTAATTTTCTTTTACCAAAGTTGATACACTACCAGATTATTAAAATTCATACTATTGTTTTATAATTAATGATCTATAGTACAACTACCACCTGTTCTTATATATTATTATGATATTTGTATAGGGTTTGTTAGATATATCGGTTAGATTTTCGACGAGGTGTGCCCGATCACGGTTCTGGTATAAGTGCCATGCCGACTCTCATCCTTCTAGAACACCCTTATCTCTTTACACGTGCCGTGCAGCACCATGACCTCGGGTCATCGGCCACAGCACGGTACCTTTGAAGATCGGCGATCGAACTCTCTATCGCCGATTCATAAAGAAAACATCCACGACTCTCAGAATTCGTCGCGCTTCAAGTATCAACTACCGGCGGACCCCAAGTCCAATGACAGACATAGGGTTCCGACATCGACACCTTCGATATCTTTGAAAAGCAGGTCAAAGCCCCAGATGCATTGGCGCTAAAAGGTTATACAGGGTGTTAGACACCAGGTGGGCAAAATTTTAAGGGGTGATTCTAGGGATCAAAATAAGACGAAAATCAAGAATAACGAAATAGCGTTTGCGGCTTTGGTTTCCAGTAATTAACGTTTAAAAATTTCGAGTAAATAAGCGCCTGAAACCTGCAACCCGCCCAGCACCGACGACTGAACGTCAGGTCAGCAGGGGAAGGTACAGTCATAACTAAGAATCGTTGAATAGTAGTCAGTCCGTCGTTCGAAACGATCTTACGTCTTATGGTGTTAAGGGTTTCTCTTCCCTTTCGTAAAGAAACTTACCTCGTGCTATTCTGTTTCTCGGTACTGCAGCATTCGGCTTCGATTCTTGGTTATGACTGTACTGACCCCTGCAGACCTGACGTTCAGTCGTTGGTGCTGGGCGGGTTGCAGGTTTCAGGCGCTTTTTACTTAAATCTTTAAACGTTAATTACTGGAAAACAAAGCCACAAACGCTATTTCGTTATTCTTGATTTTCGTCTTATTTTCATCCCTAGAATCACCCCTTAAAATTTTGCCCACCTGGTGTCGAACACCCTATATATCATGCATAATGAAGAAATAAGGATGCTGCATTTTAGTAAGTATATAGATAGTGTTTCTATGTTAATGATATTGGAAGGGAAAATATTAATTATACAAACTTGATGAATCGAGGGTCAATGAATAAATTGGTTCTGTTTCATTTCAGTAAATCCATATGTGCGTAGAAAAGTCATAAGATCTGTGGTCTACCTACTATGAAAGCTCTTTATTTTCCTGGTATTCTGTTCATGCGGAGTTCATTGGTACGTTTCCACGACGCTCTGTACTGTAACATTCATTGCAATCGAATCTCAGTGACCTACAAATGGATTATCCGCATTTTACGTGCAACCATACCTCTTTAATTGGTATGCCTTCCGAGTAAATGGTCGATTCTAGTCGATCGACAAACATGTTTTGCAGTTATAGCATTGCATCGAATGTTCCACAGAGTAAAGCTTCCTCTCTAAGGACGTTTGAAGGTTAATTAATTTAATATCGCATTTGTGCGAAATGCGTAAAAAAATGTTTTTTTAATGCATACTTATTTACATTTCTTTTCAGAATATACTTGTTGCATGCGTTAAGGTCAAACTAGCAGGAAAAAGAATAAGTTGGATCTTAAAATAATGATCAAAGAGATATTCGATGTTCCTTCTATCACAGCAATAACAATATATTTTCCTGTTCGTATCTTATATCTTACTTATAAATAGGATAGATGATGTGAAAGAATCATTTATCCTTGAAATGATATTATATTCTGTACAATAAAATAAAGCTTTTCTTGTAATAAGTTTGTGGTCAATTAATTTCGTTACCATTCATCTTCAACTGCTACAAAGACTGCGCTTTGCGTTCAGCTAAGAAATAAATGGGTTCGTGTTTTACTCCAACGGTCCTATGTGTTAATCACAATTATCATTTCATTTTTATTATAATGCGTTCTATCTTAAGATTTTCTATTTTTATACCGGTAGAGCGACTGATCTTTCTGCCATCTGTGAACTAACAAGAAAATTCTTTATGTGAGTTGTACAGCACGACCTCGACTCCGGATTTGTGTGTTCTAGAAGAAATGGACGGTTGTATCTATAATGTGCACTGTAAAAGGTATTTTGCGTACCGTTGCCTGATTAAAGAATAAGTTTGACGCAATTATTCTCTATTAACGTTTGTGAAATGATGTATGATATAGTTATTATACTTTAGTTTTGTGCGAGCTTATGTCACAAACTGATTATTTGTTCAATATTCTTTTACATTTTGTTATTTCACTGTACTTCAAAATATTTGAAAATTATTAATGTATTTGTATAATAATCTTTTTAAATATTTCCATTATATTTGACCTTGTAATTGTATAAGTTATACAACTTTCCTCAAATTCCATATGTTTATATTCTTACATATTATCTGTAACATTCAATGGTTTATAAGATTACATTTAATGGTAATCTTCTGTATTATATATCATGCGATATTTGTAATTAACTATTATTTTATATACTTTATTTGTACACAGGTAAATGTAACATTTCTTTGTTCAACGAAGCTTCCAAGAATTCATTAAATAATAGCTAACAATATTAGTTATACCCAGTAAGAAATAGTTGTGCAACATGCCTTCCACTTGTGGTGATACAATTGATATGGCTGGTAACTAAATCAATTAAATTTAATATTAGCCTGATATGTATTGCATTATACATTAATTCTAAATTCTTATCATTATTCATAATACTTCATAGGGATTTCACAATCGGCAACTGTAGAAGGAATTTCTAGCACAGATAGTGTTGGTACTCATAGCGACATTTCTGGGCATACTACAATCTCAGGGAGACCTAGAATGGATGTAGCTTGTGTTCTAGATCTACAGCAACCAGAACACTTGGTTCAGAGAAGAAGAGCCTTGGAGGAAGTTAGACAAGCATGTAATTTAGTCAATGCTAATATGCATCATATACAGGTAAAACTGTTTTTCTCATTAGAACCTATAAAATGTAATATTGGAATCATACGAATTTCGTGATTTTTTCAGTTTGAAAAACTGGATTTTGGAGAAACAAATGTACTTGATACATTTTACAATGCGGATGTAGCTGTTGTGGACTTAAGTATTCAGCTACAACAGTCTGCTTTATTTTATCATCTTGGTGTTAGAGAAAGTTTTGGTATGAAAGAAAATATCCTGTTACATAATGATGTAGATACAGAAACAACTATTAGGCTCAAGGTATATTTATATCAACCTATGTATATGTTGTATTTAAAAATTATTGTTTAACATAAAATTTTTTCATCTATAGTTATCATGTGGAAGCTACACATTTGTTTCATACCGTGTAGTAGAATGTGGTTCATGTGTAGCTACAAATCCAGCTACTACCAGAATCACTGGTGATGAAGTAGTAGATCCAAAGCAACACCTCACATTGAAGCTTAAGAAGCTGTTTCAAGATGTTGAAGTACAATCTAAGTATGTTTTCATTTTTCACTGATTTATTATCATATGGTTTTTTATAGATAAGAAACCAAAACACGTTATTCCTTTGTCTTAATTATGTCACGGTAAAGAAGTGAATAGTTTATCTTATCATTTTGTACATAGAATTGATTTAAAGCATTTGTTCTACTATTAAGAAATTTTTCTAAAAAATGTGTAATGAACTTGACCTTATTGCAATATTGATGTTATTCTTGATATTTTTCTTATAGAGCACATATGAAAGAAAAGTTCCTAGCGGATTTACGTAAAGCACGTGAAACATATTCGGGTGAAGAACTTTCAAAGGCCTTGAACAACATGCGCAAACGTTTAGATGATCCAAATGTTTTATCCGGGGAGGTTGTTCTGAATGTTCTTATATCGTTCCGTGAAATACAGGTAGGCGTATTTAAATGAGTGTCCTTCGAAATAAATTTTTCCAACATCTGACATTATGTATGTTCAGGATTACGACGCAATGGTACAATTAGTTGATGATCTGAGAACAATTCCGACTCACAAAAATTACATAAACACCCCGGCTATTCGGTATCTATACGCCTTTGCGTTAAATCGAAGGAATAAAGAGGGTGATAGAGAAAGGGCATTAAAAGTTATAGAGAAAGCCTTAGAGAAGAAAGAAAATCATGTTCCTGATATGTTATGTTTGTGTGGCAGAATATACAAAGATAAATTTGTAGAAAGTAGGCATACTGATTTAGAAAGTTTAAAGTGTGCTATCCATTGGTACAGAAAAGGTTTCGAGGTATTTATATATTGTTCTTTTCGTATTTTAAATATAAAGAAGAACACTTGAATCACGGGTCTTATTTAATTATAATTTCTGTATTTAGGTTCAACCAAATGAGTATGCAGGGATAAATCTCGCCACATTGTTGGTTATAGCAGGAAACGAATTTTCAAAAAGTGAAGAATTGCAACACATTGGAATGATACTGAATAATCTTATTGGGAAGAAGGGTAGTTTGTCAAGTTTGAAGGACTATTGGGACGTGGCCACATTTTTTGAGATCAGTGTGTTAGCCGAGGATTACTCTAAAGCTATTCAAGCCGCAGAATGTATGTTCAAATTGAAGCCGCCGAACTGGTAAATATCTAACACCTCTGAAAGTATTTAATATTGAAATAAAAAATGGATGTTAATGAGATTGTTTGTTAATAGGTACCTGAAATCAACAATAGGGAACATATCGCTGATAGATAGATTTCGTAAAAAGAACGACGAAGCCGAGGTTTCACCAGAGGAGCAAATATTTAGTTTTTGGATGGACTACTTTGTCGAAGCTACAAAATCGGAAGTTGGAGATAGTATACGGTTTCCAGTAAGTTGATAAATGGAATCGTTCTACAAAGGATCCAGTTTCTAATTCGGGAGACTATGGCTTATAATATTGTGTTACCAATCCAGCTTACTTCTGTACATTTTGGGTCAAAGTAAGAATAATATAAAACTGCTCTTAGTGCAGGTTCTTAGACTGACTTTAATGAATCAATTTTCCATTACAACAGGTTCCAGTGAAAAGGTGAATTAGTCGCTAACCTTTCTCTTTTCAGCTCTTAGTGCTGGAGCCGACGAAGATCTTGATGCCGAGCTACGTAAACGTTAATTTGGGAGCTGAAGAGAAATCGGTACAGATTTGGAATTTGTGCTTGGATAATATGAAGAATAACTGCAAGCAAGTTCACGATTGGTTGTTCACCGCGAACATGATACGTAGTGTAAGCTTGTACAAGAGGGATGAACGTTGTCTATTTTTATACGTTCATCAAAACTCTGATGATTTCCAAATGTATTTTCCATCTGTGCAATGCAGACAAAGGTTCTATGATTTGATTTTGGAAATGACCAGAGACCAAGAGGGTATGGTTACAGATTTAGATGCTTACATGACTGATGACAGAATGAAGGTTTGCAGAGAGTTTTTAGATCTTGGCAAGGATTTAATTAAATTTCTTTTGTTAATATCTGCGTTATTATAGTTCGAGTATGAACTGGATGACCAAAATAAACGAATAATGCTCGGTAAAGGCACCTATGGAGTCGTTTACGCCGCTCGAGATTTAAACACTCAAGTTAGAATTGCAGTGAAAGAAATTCGTGAACGAAATCTAGGAGATGTACAACCCCTACACGAGGAGATTAAATTACACAGTCAACTGAGACATAGAAACATCGTGCAATATCTTGGTTCTGTAAGCGAAGATGGATACTTCAAAATATTTATGGAACAAGTTCCAGGAGGTAAATCAATAAGATTGTACAGTATCGATCAATATATTACTGTATAATATAGTAACACATTATGCAATGTACTGTATGTTTTATTTATTTCTTTAGGAAGTTTATCAGCTTTACTTCGATCAAAATGGGGTCCTCTGAAAGAAAACGAATCTACAATCGCTTATTATACGAAACAGATTTTAGAGGGTCTCAAGTATCTCCATGATCAAAAGATTGTTCATCGAGATATCAAAGGTAAAATGTAATATGTAAGTTTTATTTTTCGACGTTACAGGATTTTCATAGTAATTATTATTTTTAGGCGATAATGTTCTAGTAAATACGTATAGTGGCGTAGTCAAGATTTCAGACTTTGGCATGTCAAAACGATTAGCTGGTTTGTGTCCAAGTACAGAAACATTTACTGGAACATTGCAGTATATGGCCCCGGAAGTTATCGACAAGGGACAACGTGGATATGGTGCTCCTGTAAGCTAAATCTTTTGCAAACATTATCTTTGAGTGTATAATATAAAAATCTATGTTATTTACACGTGTAGGCGGATATTTGGTCTTTGGGTTGTACAATAGTTGAGATGGCAACTGGAAAGCCACCGTTTATTGAGTTGGGTTCACCTCAAGCAGCGGTTTTTAAGGTAAAATGTTTATATTATTTAGAAATGATACAATCATAGCTATATTAAATTCGATGTTCTAACAGGTTGGATATTACAAAATACATCCAGAAATTCCATCAGAACTATCTGAAAGAGCGAAAAGTTTCATATTACGTTGTTTTGAGCCTAATCCAGACATAAGAGCAACCGCGGCTGAACTCTTAGAAGATCCATTTTTGAACGAGTACGTGACACAAGTAAAAAAATTGCTACATAAGTAAATAGATTGGTCAATATATTTTTATGTTTAGGAAAAAGAAAACTAGTCGGTTAGTGGCACCACCTGATTTTGGTAGAAGTATTTCAGTACCTGCTGATAGACTTGAACGTTCAGGAAAATCTGATAAAACAAACAATAATCATGTCGTTTCCGCTTCTCCTATTCAGACTTCACAGTCAGATGATAGGTAACGTAAATCTTTTATTTATGTAATACGTATCTACGTGTAAATGTTTATGTCGTTGCAGTCTTTGAACAATTTCATTTTTGTTCTTATGTTATTAAAAGCGATTTTGTGATACGTTTCGTGTTGGTCGAATCAGTCTGTAGTAGTAAGATGATAACATAGATGATAATTGTCGAATAATAAATCTGAATACATTGCGTGCAATGTATTTGAACGCGTGGTTTGTGCTGTGATTTTTCTGAAATTTCATTTCTTAACTATGTTATTTTGTAATATAATGAAATGTAATCAAAAAGTGTTACATACAGTGGAGGACTGACAAAGTCAAGCCCACTTAGAGAGCGCAGTCCAGCACACCTTCTGTCTCCCATCAGAATGCCCACTGCGACCCTTTCTTTTAACAGGTACGGTACTAACGTTATAAATGGTTAAAGCTGTCCATAAAAAGATATAACAAACAATAGTAGTACATTACATATTAAATTTATTTTTATAATATAAGTTAAGAAATTAATTAGCATTAACACTAATTATCCCGTATATTTTTTAATACGTTTACTAATACGTGCAGTGCTTTATGTTGCTGAATGTTCATGTGTTGTGGGCAATGGAGCTTCCTGTTTGGAATACATGTAATGGAGTGTATCTTTTCAAAATGAAAATGAAAGAATAAGATTCTTATGATATTTCAAATCTTCCTTGTATACATCTTAAGCTAATTATATGAACTGAACTTTAAGTTATGAACTGAAGCTCGATATACTAAGCAAATTTAATACAAACATATAAAAAAAATCGTCTATATAACACTGTTAATATGCTTTTTAATCATTCATTTTTAATATTTATAGCTTCAGTGATTGCCACATGTATTCAGGTTTATTTCCAATTTAGATGTATCAGGAAATATTCTTGCCCTTGTGACATGTGCATAATGTAAACTTAAAATTCATGTATAAGGAGATGAATATAAATAGCGTTTGAGATTAATGTTTAATCTTCATACTTCTAGTACGATAGGAAATACACCGTCCATAGAGACAAGTGAAACTGATATAGGTGGAGCTTCAATGACCAGGAGAAGTTCCTCGGGTGGTTTATTATCACCGGAAGTTGAATTAGGAGGTAATATTTCTAATGCTTAATAAAACCATTCGGTTTTAACGTAAATGATCTATTATTGATAGGTCAACCAGGACCAAAAACCGGTGAAGAACAAGAAGGTTTCTACTTACTGAAGAAGGATAGCCAAAGAAGAATGACACTAACTAGAGTTCTTACTCAAGACGAGGCAAAGATCTGTGAGGTTTGGATGAGAGGTATACATCAAGCAGAGGGTCAAACTGTCCTTCAAATGGTAATTATTGTTTATACATATATTCATTAAATATAAGATACGTGTATGTAAATACTCTTTTTGTTTCAGTCCCATTTGGAATTATTAATGCGGGCTCTAAGAGATTATATCGCGGAACAACACCATGAAGTAATCGTTACAGCTATAAGAACATTGAAGGAAGAGCTAGACTTTGATTCTACTGCTATCAATCATCTTAATTTAGCCATTTACCTTTTCCAAACCGCGGTGAATGAAGTTTTACGAATGCACAGCATAAAACCTCACTGGATGTTCGCATTGGACAACTTAGTTAGAAATGCGGTTCAAGCAGCCATCACTGTACTCTCTCCTGGTAATATTGTAATCATTTTTTATATGAAGAAAGTGGTGTTACAAATCATCTTGCTGACTAATGGCTACTGACTAATACACTTTTTCATATTATCTAGTGATATGTTAAATGTGTATTGTATACATTTATCAGATATACAGATAATTATATCAGCTCTAAAAATATCTTAAATACAAATATCATCACCACTAATAAAGAATCTCTGGTACATTTAGACGTCAGTTAGCAGATCACTTTTCGTGGAGGGTGTCTATTAAGAAATTTGTTTAATGTGTAATTTATAGAACTTGGAGCTAATTTACTTGGTCAAGAACGCGTGCAACCTGGTGGCCAAGGTCCTGAAGAAGGATCTACATCCGGTGTGTCGACAGTGAACTCAGTGAAATCTCAAAAGACCGGTGATTCTCTCGATAATAAATATTGGAAAGAATACAGAGATCAAATGGGGGCCTTAAAAATGGAAAACATGAAATTGCTTCAAGAATTAATTGAAAGCCAAAAATCGTATCAGACTTTGTTGCAACAAATTCTTGACGAGCAAAGAGCTCAAGTTAATACTTTGACACGACTTTGTGAAAATATTAATCGAAAAACTTTGAGACAGGAATCAGGGTAAGATACGATATATTTCCTAATTCGAATTTAACATGTACCTTAAAAAAGTAACTAATTTTTTTTACTTTATTTTTAAAGTTATAATTCATCGATATCTGGTAATATGGTACAACCGGCTGTATCATTGATTGTAAGTGATTCAAATTCTAGTGCAGTACCATGTACAGATCAAGCTCTTGTTGAATGGTTACAAAACCTTCAAATAGACGAAGCTTCAATCGAAAGAGTAAGTACCCTAAAAACTGTGATATCAATGAAATATGACATTAATTATTAACATTGTTTATAGTTTATGTATGAGCAATATACATTGAAGGATGTCCTGGAACATGTTTCTCGAGATGATATTCGTAGGCTGAATCTCAGGTAACTAACCAGATTTTTTTTCGTTTACACGAGTGATGTATTTAATAAATAAATTGTTTGTTTAGAGGAGGAATCGAATTAAGGATATGGCAAGCTATAATGAACCATCGACAAAATAATGATTAATAGCAACAGGAGGAGCGATTGTTGAATTGTATAAAACATTGAAATTGATTTTTATGTTAACGGTTTACTTTATGCAGGGTAAAATATTTGTTCAAATGTGGCCGCTATGGCAAACGAGAAATGTTATTAGAAAACTGATAGCAGAATAAAATACCTGTATTGTTAGAGCATTGTTCGTAAATTCAGACTACGCGGATAGTTATAAATGCACAATGATATTATTAGTTTATTTCGTAGTTCCTAAACATAGAGAGTATTTACAAGACACGTGTGTACATATAACAAGTTTTGCATATACTGGTTCAACAAGATCTTGTTACAGTGGAAATTTGAAATTTCTGAGAATGCATTTAACGATTATGTCAATACAGGAATCAGTATCGTTGCATCCGCTAACTTACACGCACTGTAACTGATTGTATGCAAAATTTGTATTTTTATTCAACAATTTATTAATCTAGAATATTACTCTTGCCAAATTTAAGCTCAAAAATTCAGTAATTTGGTCCAATTTTCTTGTGAATTTGTTCAATATTTTTTACTGCCAAAGCTAAAATTGATATTACTGAAAAAAAAGAAATATGTGCACGTAGAAAGTTGCCTTGTATTTTTGTGTTATGATTACAGTAAGTAATCTTGAAACAAGCGAATGTTCGTAGTGCCTTATAAACCGGTGTAATAGTACAACAGTAGATACTTATTATGTGCAAACAGTAACATTTCATTGCTGTATCTGTATATTTCTCAAGAAAATAATATTTACATAAGTGTCTTCCTAGTTGCACATAAAAACTATTTACTTGAAAGAGAAATACCATAAAGTGCTTGTTATAGCTTATATGAAAAGTCTGCTATTAACTGTGCGTCTAAAATCTACCAGTTGTTTGTAGATATGAATTTTTATCTAATAGATTTTCTGCTTCTTATACGATATTTTAGCGAACGATAAGAAATTCTTGCTTCCTTAATATGTATATTGTATAGAATAGTCGAAAAATCACGTTTGCAGATCATCGATTTCTTCCATCGCAATACTGCAATATAATCACGCCAGACAATTAATATAAGTGCCTAATTTCATCAGGGATACATCAATTATATCGTAATTAAAGAATACATATACTTCTATAAAATGTTGATTAATTAAATAGCATCGTTAAGAAAACGAATATCCGCTGAAATGTTCAAATTGTCTCTTATAATTGTTAAGATATTTTCACATTACCGTTTCAATGTACTCGATAAGATTAATTATCTTGTTAGTAGGCTGAAATTTATAATAAAGATTCCAGTGAACAGAGTAGAACAAACCTTTCGTTTTTTTTTTCATTTATTCCCTTCCATAGTCACAATAGCAGCGAAGCAGGTTTCTGAAAAAAGAAAATAATGGTTTTTATTCTATTTTATTATAAATTCTATCTCGTGCACCGACACTTGCTCGGAGGGTTTAATTGAAATCGAAAGTAAACGAAGACTCGGGAGCGGATCCTCGAGGCGGAAGGGTCGAATCGTGGAGGGTGGAAACGAGTACGTGATCGGTTCGAAGGGTTGCTATTCCTTTTCAACCATCTCGCGACGTACCCTACATTGATATGGATGAGGCGTTCTCTACCTCGTTGCAATGTTTCGTTTAAAAGATAAGCCTAAATAGATTCGCAGCTCGTCGGAGGAGAGCTTTAACCGGTGTCTTCTCGTGATACGATCTAAGTAAAGAAACGGCGCGTTACACGGTGCTTTCGAAATCCCTTCCCTTGGTAATTGGAAGAAAAAGAAGAGCTAGACGGATGAAAAGTTTAAATTTTTCTGGAAAATGAATGCACCGACCAGCCACGGCGTAAAATTACAAAAGTTTCGGACACGAGGGTCGGACCTATTCATTTGCACTACAAAAAAGCACACGCGGCTTATAAACGAACCCCCTCGAACTCAGTCGCTTATTTTCACCGTCCAGCCTCTCACTCTATTTTCCCTCTTTTTATTTTTTATTTTCTCTTCCTCTTGTCTGCTCGTTTCGATGCATTCGCACGCGTGTGCAATCCACACTGTCTACGTGGAATATTCAAGGGGGTGATTGCACAGGATATTTTCGTTCACCTTTTACGAGTCTGTTCGTTTTTAAATTTGCTCGTAGTCGAATAAAAGCGTGCAGGTATTTCGCGTATTCTGGGAAGTATACACGCGTATCTAATTCCTTTACCAATTTCTTAAGGATGCAGGGTGAATTCCGCCCCGAGGTTTCTCCCGTTGGTCAAATTCTCCTCAGAGAATACCGAACGAAACTGATTAAGATCCCGAATGCTGTCAGTACAGCTGTGTCTTCTACTCTTAATCCTGATGGAAAAAAAAAATTTGTTAAAGGATCGATAGGGTGGATCTTCGACGGTCAAAGATATACAGAACACCCCTATTTGCTTATCATTAGCAATTCCGTAACGGAAGTCTACGGGACTTACGAGCCGCTGCATCTTCGCGAATATAAATGTTAATGTTCCTTTGTGGAGCTTTTGCATATATTATCGGGATCCCGTTGTCGGGTACTCGTGAAATTCGCGAAATTCGAGGAGGGTTGAAATTCACGGATAAGTGGCTCGGTTCGAGCATCCCTTAGGGAAGCTTCTTTCGGTGAACTGTTATGGTTCGCGTATACATAGTCTGTACAATGGATATACATACGTATTTTTTTATGTAAAAAGTTGCAAATTTCATGTGTATCGAAAGTGAAAGGGGAAGCTTTGTGGGATGATTGCCGAGGAACGCAATCAATACAGATGCGACTGTTAGGTCGTAATTTCACGGTTCGATTTGAAATCGCAAATAAAGCGACGCGAACGTCCATCGAATCGAATTGACGTCCCGACGCAAATGCAGCAGCATCGAAGGGGTTGTCCGCGATCAGGACACAAATCCCAAGCTGTCTGGTCGGCCATCCTTTTCCCCTCTCTTTACCTTTTAATTAACTAATTACGTTCGCGGAGTAACTAAAGAGGATTCGCGATTTTCGAGTACGAGGAGGCTTTCAGCGTCGCCCGAAATAATCCATTTGCCCGAGTGAAAGGCTAAATAAGATTATCGCGTCAGCTTTCTTCTCCTCTCGGCGAGAGAAAAGGGGAGAAAGAGATCGTATCCGGTAATCTCTTTTTCAGTTACATGAAATTGATTGCAATTCTTCTTTGCGAGAACCGATTTGCGCGAAACCTTGCTTACGGTTCTAAGAAAGATGTTTCAAGTTTGAACGACAGTCGGATTCATTGTTCGAGACACGCAAGAGTTTCCAGGAAATATTTTCGTAGCGAAGAAGGTAGACGAAAAAAGAAAGGAACACGTCGATGGGACGATTAATTCGGCCGGAAAGCGAAATCATCCTTTTCCAAGCGCTTTCTTCGATGCGGACCAGCGACGGAAGTTATGAACGTTCCCGGAGGATTACGACGAGAACAATGAAGGCTGACTCTCCGTCTCCTCGTTTTCACGGAGTGACACCTTGTTCGCCGGGACTAATTACTTTCGGCTTAAAATCCTTAATTTGTTGCTGAAAGGCTGGCGACGGACCCTATTCCAGCCCGATAAGATCTTTCTTCGCGCCCTGCTCCGAGGGCTATAGGGATGTATCTGCTGAAAAAAATTTACATCTTTAAAAAAAATAAAATTCGAACACTGTAGCCACGTATCTTACAGCGGCACAATTATTTTTCCTGTCTAAAACGATTTAATTAAAACGGTATCTAGGTGCTTTTTCTAATTAAAAAATCCACCTGAAGAACAACATTGGACGACGAAGGAGGCAGAACAAAAATGTGGTAGTTGCCGAGGCACGGGGTAGAAATTAGCCCCCCGTTGGCAACTTCTGGCACGTTGCAAAGAAGGAGCCGGACTGATATTGAATCGCGTCTGCACCCTTTCTCGTCTCATAACGCTACCGTTGGGAGGACTACCAGGCAACAGATGTACCTGATACATATTCATATCCAGCTTCCACGACTTCGTGTTATTGTTACTGTTATTATTGTCAGGCCAGAGCCAGTCCTCCGTAATGGCTTTGAGAAGAATATACGAGCAGTGTCAGGTCGATGGAGCTTCAGAATTGCTCTCTGACCGCAGTTAATTATACGCTATTGCTTATTGCCATTGGCAGTTCAATGCCTTTGTGTTATTTCAATAACGTTCAATTCTGATTCTCTTCCAACCTCCAAAATTCTAATTTAGACCTGAAAGACACAAAGTAGGATTAAAATTAGAAACAGTAGGAAGTGGATAAATGTGTTTCAAAAGCATGAAACTCCTTTCAGAAGGGCGGAAGTAGGAGTATGAAAGTTGAAATTTTCTACGCAACCTCATCTCCGACCAAGCTCGAAAACTTCTCCATAACGCGGCCGAATTAATGGCAATTAATAGCATCCGCTGTTTGCAGGCCGGCTGTACACAAGGGCCTGTTTGCGCAGCCAGTCCTACCGAGCGGAGCACGTGTAAATTTCCACTCTCGTTTTCGACCAACGGATTCGATCGAGGGTCCTCGAACCGCGCCGCGCAAACAGACCCCTAATGAATTGGTGGTTGCTATTCGAAAGCGGGAAAAAATCCAATTACCGCGGGGCCGCTGTTTCTCATCCTTCGGATTCCATCTGTAATCGACGCCTCTGCCAGTACGAGAGGGTCCAACCGTGTCGGAGAACGAAACCGCTAATTGCATCGTCGAGCATTCGTATTTATCCACGTCAAGGATGGAATTTTTCTTCGTGTTGCTCGAGCTTTCGGAATTCTTCGAATTCTAGGCCTCTTTCCCGGTTTTTTCCTCCCTGTCCGTTTTCCTTCCGCTCGTTCGCTGCTATTTCGAAACACAGAATTTCATGACATAAAAGTAGTTCAAAATAGCACTTCTAATATATCAATGTAAAGCTTAAAGTCTACAGAAAATGACTACATAAACGCTTTAATTAGAAACAGCAATCGGAAGTATTAAATTGAAAAAGATTACCATGTCTGACCAAACACGATTGTTACTACTTTGATGGTCGACGCGTTCATTCCGTGCCCTTTGGATCCCGTTTCTCCCTCGTTTGGTCATCGAATCTTCCATCTGCAACACAAAAACATTCTCATTCGAAAAAGCTCTGCTATGGATCGTCGATGTTTCGCAAAGTAATCATCGATAAACGAGAGCCGGTTAATCCTATGGTGTTAAAGATAAATAAAAGATTAATGCTTGCTGCGAGTATGGTATCTGTAAAAATCCTTTAATCTCTGCGATCTATTGTCCCCGTGCGTGGAACATCGAGGGCGAGAATTAGCGTTCCCTCGTAGTTGGGCCGCGGTTGTAGCTGAATTATTGCTCTGCCCTCGTCTGTATCAGCATCCAACCACCGAAAACGTTTCGCTGATAATGCGATTCCACGCTGAAATTACTCGGCGTGGAACGATGCTCTAGGTGATTTCCGGCAGAGAACGTCATTCGAAGGGAAAGAGAAAAGAGAAAGGAAAATCGGGCGAAACGAGCGGAGAAGACAGGGAGAGACGTCTGGCGTTATCTCGAGCGTGTCACGCGGAGAACCAGGCGAAAAACTCGAAGAAAAGAGAACAGCATCCTCGGTGGCGGCTATGAATTATGCATGGAGGGAGGCCGCTGAAACTTTACGACGTATATATACGGCCGTCACGGCCTCGCGGAAATCCGTCGGATTCCATTAGAGGGCTTTTAATTAGCTGCTCCGTTCTATCGACTTTCGGCCTTTCAGCTGCTCTCTTTTCTTTTCTCCTCTCTCTCTCTCTCTCTCTCTCTCTCTCTCTCTCTCTCTCTCTCTCGAGGGGTAAATTTGAATCGTTCGAAGGGGATCTATGCTCTTGGAAAATATTTTTCTTTTTCAATTTTTTATTGGAGTTTAAAATTCCGCTTGAATTCATTAAGGAATATTAAATCACCCTATGTATTTATACGTACCGTCGTTTTTCCGCTTGGAAAATCGTTGGTAAGTGGCGCCGCGACGCCCACGTCGAAATTCCACTTTCGTAAGGGGTGCGCGAGGCAGGTGTCAAGCCCGGGAGATCCATCTGGGAAAAGAAAACAGGAGCACAGAGTCAAGGTAAGCGTACACCACGAAAGCGGCAAACTTTTGCTTGGAAATCAAACGAACAACCTTTTCGCGAATTCAACCAACCGTACACCCTTCTTCGGTCTGGTTTATGGAACGTAAACAACGCGAAGAGGAACGACACTTTCACTGGAATAGGAAAAAAACCACCCTTAGATCGGTCTTCGCGTTTCTTCCGGCTCGAGCTTGTATTTATTACCGAACGCTACAGAAAGGCTCTTTCTCGACTCTTATTTCTGCCCTTCGGAGGGTTGCAACGAAGGGCGGAAGATTCACGATGCAGAAAGGCGTGACGAGTCAACACCTCGTTGCTAGGAGTTGTTTGTCGACTCGACGTGACCGCACCTTCGAAATCGACCACTTCGCATGTATCTTAATACATATGGTCAATTATGACACATTGTTGACCGGTCATGAGTTAATTCGTGTTTTAATTCGTCTTTGCACTTGCACTTGCACTGGCTATTTTAATTTTCGAAATTCAGAGTAATATAAAATATTGCAAAAAATTATTTTCTTTGAAATTTAGGTTCTTATCGCATTTTTATTACAAAAATTTCAATCGTGACGGAGAAAAATTTCTCAATTTGTTCTAATTATTTGAGTGATTTTGAAATATATTATAGTGATATGATTACTGTACAGTTTATCACAAAAAGAAAATTCTAAAATATATAATATACATAAAATATAATATACCTATAAACTGCATGTCCAAGTTTTATTTAAATTCATTTGTGGAAGAATTTGGGTAATCGGAGGCGTGTAGGCGGCGATTGAAACACAGGTACACGTTTTCTAACAGTCGTTCGCTCTTTATTATAATTAGTCTTCAAGCACGCGTACGTGTACTGTGTCCGCTGCCGCTGAGCCATAATATTTATGTATATTCCCCTTCGACAAACGGGGGAGAGGGGGGAAAGAGTCGGCGTAACCGGCACAGGTAGAAATACGCGGGAAGTTCATCCTACACATTAAATTTAGATTGTTTCACTTTCAAACTCAATTACAAAATACTAGCCAGTGAGATGAGATAGATTCTACGTAAAATTGCCGGCCAACAATGTGTTAAATTCAATTCACGTCAGTCAGAAATGTCCACAAAGTAAAAGTACATAGACGAAAGCGTCTAGATGCGACAGAAATAAAAACAAACAATCCGTATGAACTTTCCATTTCGAATTTTCCCCAGAGCTTTCCCAGCAGAGACACGTATCTGTCTGTATTTGAAAGTGACGCCCCTCGGAGGCTGGAACCGTCGAATACTATCGGTCGTCGAACTGCAAACTTCCATCAGGCTGGAATCTCTTCGATGCCGAGTAGACAGACTACGCGTCCCGACGTGTTTCTCCTTTAACGTCCTCGGATGACGAGGAGCCGGTGTGACACGCGATAAGAGGACGTCGTAGGCAAAGTGTTTCCCGAAAGAAGCTCGGAACACGAGGGTAGACACGGCGGGACGGTGAGAGAAATTCGTAGGAAAGAAAAAAGGGAACGATTCGACGTCAGCAGATCGAAAGTTTCAGCTTTTCTTCACGTCGCTAGGGGTATTAGGAAATCGCGCATACGAGCGTCGAATAATACATGCGAATATTGAACGCGTGGGTGGAGTGTCTCGCTCGTAAAGCCATGCGAATATGAATGCGGATGGCTCAATTTTACGCGTCTGCTGCGCTAACATCCGGCACGTGACGTCTTTAGCCAACTTTCTTCCCCGATTTCCGGCCGCCTGCCTCTGACGAGGAGGCGTAAACGGAGTGAAAATTGTGGGATTTCGAACGTATTTCTAATTTCAATTTAATTAAAAACTTTTGCAGGCATTCGGAGGAGAAAGAAAGAAAGATGTCAGATTCTGAGGGTAGTTTGGGGAGCATCCGCGGTTCCGAAAAATCGGGAACGCGCGAGGAAATCATCGCCTCTCTGCCGAATCAGCAGAATACCAGCGGTGACAAGCTTGAAGAATTCGAGAAGCTGCTTCAAGCGATGCTACCGTCTCGATCCTCCTCACAGGAGGCCGAGGAAACGGAGGAGAACGAGGCGGAAAGAAAAATAGGTAGGTTCTATCGAAAGGAAAACAAGCTTCAAATTGTGTAACTAGTACTTGCTTCTAGATTGTCTAGAAGATAAACATCGCGTTGTTTGCGCTCGAGAAAGCGAAAGAAAGGTGAAAAAGACGCGCGACTCTCCCAAGGGCTAAATCTCTGGCCCTTTAATGCCACGAGGGGCTAAAACAAAGCCGTGCTTCAATTATCGTTCCATTCTTTCTCGACAGAGTAAAGTGGTATCTCTTGAAAAAAAAAGTTCCCATACAAATGCAGTGAAGTTTTTGATCCCGCTTTCCAACCCTTTTTCTACACGAATCTATTAAATTAGCACAATTTTTACTGACGAAAGGTCGAAAATGTCGAAAAGGGAAGCTTAAAACTTTCTTTCATCCACTATTAATTCCTCCTTCCAGCGGGTTTTGTTCCACGCCAATCTCCCTTTAGTCTGAAATCCAAGAGAGAGAAAGAGATGTTTAGAGTTTCCGTTGGCAACGATTCGCGTTGTGCAGCTGAAACTGTCGGCACGTTAAGACGAGGAGGACGGCTCTTGATGCAGCGAAGCCTAGGAGATAGCCGAGAGAAAGAAGGGTGGCTACGGCTTTTCGTCTAGCGTGAATCCCCCTCGGTTCGAGTCGACGAAATGCCGGTCGTCGTGTAAAAGGGGTGAGAAAGAAGAGCAACGGGGGGGTGGAAGGGATGCAGTTGCGTAGTAGAAACTCAGGTAACCTGTTGAGAGGGAGTGGAGTAGGCGAAAATGGAGAGCTTGCTGCAGCTTAACTTGGGAGAATTTCCCAGACGTTCGCCAAGGGCATTTCCAGGGAAAGTGGCTGGCTGGCTGGCTGGCTGCTCGAGAAGAGAGAAATTTCTCTGGCCCCCAGGGATTAAGTTCAACCCTGAGAACGTCTCCGCCTCGTCTTTTTCTCCGTTCTATTCTTATTCGTCCGCTTTCACGGGAAGCACGCGGCAACCAGATGGTAACGCGAACTTTAATGATCTTTTTCGTGGCTCGGTAGAGACGCCGGAAATTAGCGAGCGACGGAACGTTGCTAGCCGGGAGCCCATTGCTTTGTGTATTCCTACCCCGTCCTCGCGAAAACCATGTCGACCAGGATTTTTCGAACCACACCCAAGAAACGCGTCGTTGAATCGAGCGAAAATACTCGAAGAAACTTTTCGACGAACTCGATGGGTAGCGTAAAAGAAAAAGAAATACTTGGAGCAACTTTTCACGGTCCTCGGATCGATCGATCGTGCATGGCTCATGTTGTTCTCCTTTTTCGTTAATCGCGTACACGGAATCGTCGATTTAGGGAAAGCATAGCTCCCCGGGGATCGCTCCGAGCTCTCGGACGAACATTAACTCCATTAAGGGGATAAAAATTATTCCACGAATGAAGGCCAGCGGCGATCTAGCGGGCTGGTTCTGTCCTACGTGCGTGGAATTAACCAACTCCGAGAAAATGGAAATATACGTACATATATATATATCATTAAAAAATTGACTATTAATAACAACAGAAGAATTAATGAATAGTATCTTCGATAAAGGATATAATAGGTGGATTACATTGTGCCAGTAGAAAAAACCAAGTTTGGTCAGACGGAGAAAATATGCAAAAGGAATAATCGGTTCTTCTACTGCAATCTCCATCGTGCTCGTTAATCTACGTTCTTTCCCCATCAGATAGGTCTTCAACGATACTAATCTCTCGGTTACTTGGCAAAAATTACCTGGTGCATTGCGGTCGCGGTTAATATCAGCAATTCCGAACGACGTTATATCCGTCCCCGGGAAAGTTCGAAACTACCGGAATATCTTGCTCGTAAATCATGAAAGAGATTAGAAGTAGGAGAAAAGTCGTCGCTCGAAAGATAGTCGTCAGTTATGAATCACTCCGACGGTCATGCAAACGCGTTTCTGTTCGCCCGGCTGATTCGAACGCGTTCAAACGTCGTCTCGCTCTTTCCCTCCCCGGTGAATTTCGTTTTGTACGCCCTTGCAATGTCGTGGAAAAGTAACAACCGGGTTTAATTACGATGCATCGAGCGGATTTAGGAGAGGTAGCAACCTAATTTAACCGTGTTTTCCGAGAGAGACCGCAGCTGTTGCCAAATTCGCGTAGTCGTCGCGGCGGGTTCTCGGTCTCCGATGGTACCGTCCTAAATTTCCCAGCGAATTTCCCTTGGAAACGAGGATCCCGCTGTCCCGCGTGACGCTCGTCTGCGTTCCAAATTAAACTCATAAAACGAGCGAGGATGCAGCACGCGTTCAACGGCCGCTTTACAAAGCTGGAACATCGCGCGACGCGTCTCGAATAGGACCGGGAAATTATAGGGCGCTATGTGACACTAAATTCTCCCCGGTTTCGCTTTGTGTTTTCAGACGCGCATACAACGTGGTTGCTTGTTGCTCGATGATCGTAGACGTATTTCGAAAAGTCAAACTTTTGGAATACCGATACAAGAAATAGTAAAAATCATAATAAGCAAGAAAATCGAGATACCATTCGCCGAATGCCTTCTACAAATCTAAGCACACAGAGATCCGAGACGTTTTCCGTAAATCTAATAGTACAATTCCGAAAACGAGGCGGACCGTGAGATCGAATTGGCTGCTGGCCAGGGACGTAGCCCCGCTAAAATCTCCATCCCCCCGTTTCACGTGAATTTCCTTAGGTCTAGGGAAAAGGCAACGCCCTCCGAGACATTTATAATTCAGAGTATCGTCCTTTGCGGTGCTAGAAACGGTCGACCGTTGCGGGATCGCGCGACCGATGCAACGCTAATTCCTCCCTAAAACGAGCACCGCAATTTATTATTTTAATCATCCCCGCGAACCTGACACCTTTGCCACCGCCGTTGGCCGGAAATTGCGTACGATTCACGCTCCGAGGAACTCGCTGAACCAGTCGCAGTTTAATTAAACTCGAAATCGGTTGAAGGTACGGAATACAAGATCGGATACCGACTAATTCTACCCCTCTTCCCGTTGTTACTTGGAACCGGTTGGTCAGAAATTATCTGAAAAATTCCGCAAAGATGACTTCAACAAAGGCGTGCAATTATCCCCCCTCCGGGGGGTATCGGTGTCAGGATTAGTCCCGAAATCAGCGACTTAGCGATCGCGGAAGAGGCGAAAGAAAGGGATTCTCTCGTTTCGAGCACATGTTCTCTCTCACGTTCTCCCTCGCAGGGTATTCTCGAAGCCGTCGTCTTATTAACGGACTCCCTCGACGCATTCCAAGTGGAGTGTCAATATACGCCGACCGGATTATCATAATATCGTCCGTCAGGCTGGCATATATGCGCGTACATGCTCGCCGAGTGACATCTTACCACCCCTGTTCACGAGCCGGCTTTAAGCCTCCCCTTTTCCCGACAAACTTTCCACCGTCACCAGATTCGCCAGATGCGTTTCGCGAGACAGCTTCTCGCGAGAGTTCTTTTCCCGGCACTCGATTACGGCTCCGGTTCACCCAGACTGTTCAACTTTTTTATTTGTTCCCGGCCCGTTCTTTGAAACGGCCATCTTCCCGGATTACGCGAAAATAACTTCATCCAGCAAAGGACGAAACAGTACTTTCTCTGTCTTTATTTACAGGGTGAGTCTATAAAGTTCTCGGGCTTAATTTTTACTGATATACTTTCGAAGCTTCGGCGACAAATTTTCACGAAAGCATCGGTTTGATAGGCTCGAAGGGACTTTCTGAAAGAGATGGATATCGATGGATCTATCTCGATGCAAAGAATGAACAGACTTTGGATTCAGATAAGAATGACGAATGAGTAACGGAGTCGGTACTATCAATTTCACGAGGAACCTCGTCGTGTTCTTTCAAATATCCTACACGAAAGTCGATGGAAAGTTTACCGGATGGCTTCCATCCACGTTTTGTAATCGTTTCAGTTACCCCCTAGGTCTGTTTTTCTGTTCCGCCCAGACGAGGATCGAAGGAGGAACGAAGGGAGGCAAGAGTTTTCAGGGGATGGATCGGCGGTAGGTTCGTCGAACGGGAAATTGCGGGGGCATGCGTGAAAAATGACAGCGAGTTCAAAAGCTGGCTAAATAAGAAATCGCGTTGTTCGAAGGTTGGAAAGCTCGACAACGAGAAATAGCCGCGGGACTCGTTCGCGATCATCAATTTCCCCGCGCGTCAGCGTCGAGGAAAAAGGGCGAAACCGCCTCGAGTGAGACCTCCGCCGCTTCCGGTTCACTCTCCCGTTGGATGATCCGTTGTGGGCCACGATCATCCGCACGGTCCGTTTGTCGCGATAAAGGAAGTCGCGGGGCGGATGACGAATGGAGGGAACCGGGACAAATTTCGCCCAGGGGTAGATAACGTCCGAAATCATTACCCACGCCCGGTGCAAATTGTTTGGGCGACGCTCGGAGGCGCGTTCTCCCTTCTCCTTCATCTTTTCTTCTCTTTTTCTCTTCTCGCCTTGCCACTCGACGATTTCAATTTAGGGACAGAAGCTCTAAGCAAGAGTGATTGATGATGCAGCGGAATTAATGGAAGGGGTAGTATTCTACCGATCAAAGCACGAATTGATTGAGAAGACTGTTAATTCTCTGTCGTGTTCCACCAAACGAATCGGTTAATGATGAGAATAATGAGGAAAGAATAATTGAGCTTCTTCAGCCATGTTATCGGTTAACTAAATGAAATCAATATGAAATTATTCTTCAACTTCCAACATCCAAATTTATCGTTTCTCAATTCCGACTGAACAATTTATTCGGGGTCGGTATATTGCGAAAATGTCGACAACTCGAGTAAATGTAATTTATCAGAATCGACAAATCAAGTTTCATGCCACCTTTTTTCTTTATGAGTATCCCTACCGCTACCAATCAGTTCAGTTCTTTTATTATTAAGACTTTGCTACAACGGCTCCGGGCCTCGATAGAAATCGGTACTTGTAATCTACCTTCGCTTGTAACTTTAAGCTATCAAATAAAATTGAAATAACCGAAAAGGAAGGAGCTCCATCTCAATTCTTGCAACCCAGCTAGGAGAAAGGTAAGTGGACGTTGCAATTTTTTTTTTTTAACGCAGCCTCGTTTCTGGCAAACGCGTTGATCTTCGCGATAGGGAAAAACAGATCGACAAAATTCCCAGCTACGCCTCGATCCAATTTACGCGACGAGTATCCGACGAGAACGAAATTCGCCGCGGTGAATGCAATTCGGCAGGAGGGTCCCGGTACCTTTTTCTCTTTTTTCCCTGCTAATTCGACGAAGGGCGAGCCGCCGCGAAATGAAAAGCGCGACCGTTCCCTTTGTGCTTAACGCGCACGAGCCGTTTCTCTGAAGAGATCTCGTCGTCCATTCGTGTGCACGTCGCTCGAAAAACGCGTGTGCTCGGAGCACCGGAAAATCTCGTGCCTTTCGGGAAATGCCAGACAGCTAATCTGACGGGAGAAATTAATTCCGACGTTTGATCGGCTATGGCTCTTCGAAATTACCTAACAGAAAGTAACGCCGCCCCGGGGCTGGCAGATGTTCGCGAGAGCGGCTGGCTTTTATTTTTCAAATTCTTACGTGGGTTCACGTGTATTGTGAGGTATCACAAAGGGCTGTAATTCCAACAACGATCGGCCTATTCTACCGATAAGCTGATCAACGATCGAACAACGCGTCTTAACCCTAGAAATTGAAACGAAAAAATGGCATGTTCGGTGGAAATTTTAAGCGGTTTCACGATCCCTATTGATTTTCCCGTGAAGCCATTATCGGTACTGTATTCTTCTCTATTAGGAAAATAGATGCTTTAACGACAGAGAAATAGGGCCATTTCGATCTGGCTGAAGTCCAAGGGCAAACAGCTGCGGCAACCTTCCTATTTTTACGTCAGCGCAATTTCCACGTTTTTACGGTCGATCGATCGGATCCGATCGCAGCTAACTTTGTCCCCGTTGAACGGATCAAACGACAACGTTTTCCTCCCTGGTGCATTCTGCCGGACGCGAACACAATCCACGATTTCGTTCATCGAGCCTGATGAACCGATAAACCTTCGCTTTCATTGTTCTCGATCGAACACCGTGAAGAAACGAATTTCCAATTCGATAGATTGCAATTGGTAGAAACGGTACGGGGAATTTCACTTACGCGTTAGTTGTTTCACCGATTCCTCGAAGAAATTGCGATGGAAAAACGCACTAATTGATTTGTCTGAGAATGAAAAATAGCGAGGAGAAGAGAGCGGCGTCGACGCGAAAGCCGAACTGATACTGTTCTTCAGCAACTATGGAAGAGTAAAATGGTACCTGTCAGTACATGGAAGACGGGATCGCGTGCAACGTCAGTTCCTGAATATTCCGTGCGTCCCGTGACAATAGGGCAACGAGCAGGCTCAAAGACACGATCGGCCAATGCCAGAAACCCAGTCGTTTTCTTGGCTTCAGTCGGTGCCTGGTCTCTTGACCTGCTTGCACTAAGATTTTTAGTATCAAACCACCCTTCTTTCTATGTTAGTCATCATAATTTCAAACGTGTTTACGAAAGGAGTAACGCGACCACTTTGCAAGAAATGATTAATACCGAGTTTCTCGCGTTGACGTAGAAATGGCCACTCCGGACGGACCGACGGACTTCCGGCTGGAATACATCGGTACTTTCGTGCAAAAGTCGCTGAAACTGAAGCCAGAGAAATGGGGAAGATTGTTACTCACCGAGGAATACAGGAACGCCGTGCTGGATTTCCTGGATAATCCTCTTCCAGCGGCGCTCTTCGTCGTCCTGACACCGAACGCGCAATTGGTGGCGTCCTCTTCCTTCCCCATCCCCTGTCAGAGAACCAAAGGTTAGTATAAAAGAAAATATTTCTCTATAATCACTAATTAATCAATGTATTCAGGAATTTATGCGGTGAAAGTGAAACAGGCTCCCTTAGCGAAGGAGAAAGAAGCGTGTTCCTCGATGCTGATTCTAGGAGATTTATCACCGAGAGTCGTAGATCAATTAGCTACATTGGTAGACAACGTATTCGCACCTCTGTTGAGTAAATCGGAGAATCATAAGGATCTACCAATCGTCGCGATCCAGGACATTTGCAAACACGTTCATTCCCTGAGAGGAACTTTGTACCAAGTACAGATTTCTAAGATTCGTGAAACTTTTACGATATTCAAGTATCAATTCATTAAACACAGGTAAAGGGACAGGTGAACGGAAGGACGGTTCTGCCAATGCCAGCTGGGATGGAGAAGGTGACGGAAGTGGAGAAATTAGTCCGGGCGGAAGGGCCGGAAGCCGTCGATCTGTATTTGAAGAGCGCCATCGAGGGTGTCGTGATAAAGTGGGCCTACTTGGTGAACGACGTTGTCACTCAAGAATCAAGCGCCGCTTTCGAGAACGGCCAAAATCCGACGCCGGACGTCGAGCTGGAGTATTGGTCCACGAGATTAGCGAATTTAAGGTAGATCTGTCATAACCCCCCCATAGTCAGTCAAAGGGTGCTGTCCAGGTGATTTGACTTCACGTCAAAGTTGCAGAGATTTCGTAGACGTCGATCAATAATTGGAAATCATTTCTCGTTGAAATAATTCGTACAGAAGATTCGGAGAGAAAATTATTTCTTTAGGTATATTTACGATCAGTTGCACGAGGATCGCGTGAAGAAAATGGCCAGCATTCTGGAGAGAACCGATAGCGCGTACTACCCTTGTTTCCGTACCCTCTTCGAAAACGTCGTCTCCTCGATGGCGGAGGCGAAAGAGATATCCCTGTATCTTTCGCCGTTGGCAAAGTGTTTCAAGGCTGTCGAAGAGGTTGACTTCTCCGAGACTAAGCCGTTAATGGCCACGCTGATACACTCGGTGGGATTAGCCTGGTCGAGATCCAGCTACTATCAGAGCTCCTCCAAGGTAATAATCATGCTTCGACAGATTTGCAACCTGTTGATCCAGGAAGCTCGTCGATTCCTCGATCCATCGTCTATCTTTCAAAGCGACGTGGACGAAGCATTGCAGCGGGTTCAGATATCGAAAGGTGAGATTTATTTTAAAATCTCTCGAAATTCTTCATCTAACCCTTTCTTCTTTGCTCGCCAAGGAATTCTAGAAGAATTCAAACGTCAGTTCGAATTGAACAAAGACATGCCAGCGATGAAACCCGACGCTCCACCGTGGACCTTCAATCCCAGCGCGATTTTCCGGCGTCTGGACGCCTTTTTAAAGCGACTCGGCGATATCGAGTGGCTGTTCCATACCGTCATGGAGTTCTCCAAGTTGGAGAAGATAGAAATCGGTGGGATCCTCGGAAGATCCCTGAGCAGTAGGATCGTGAACGTCTACAAAGAGTTTCAGCACCTGTTCCTCTCGTTCACCGTGAGAGCTAACGATGCCCTCGAACCGGACGACGAATCTTTCGCCGTCGATTGCGCCAAATTCAACGAGTCCACTACCGATCTCGATAACAAACTAGCAGCCATCCTCTGTCAAGCTTTCGACGACTGTGGAAATCTCGAAAGTGTCTTCAAGGTATTTTCAAAGACAAATCACGATGCTATTTACACAGAAGATTGATATTTCAGTTGATAAATATCGCTGGATCGGTACTGGACCGACCAGCGATCAGCAAACAATTCGTGAATCGTTATTCGAAGATCCTGGAGCTGTTGAACGTCGAGCTGACGGTGGTGGAGGTGTTGTTTAACCGCGGTACCAGAGGCGCTCTGATTAATCTTCCTCCTCTGGCCGCGGCTTTGACATTCACGAGCATGCTGCGGCAACGCATCGATCTGCCCATTCAATCCTTCAGGTCTATTCAACACCCGTGAGTGACATAGATCCGGAATTAGCAAACGTGCCTATATTACTGTCTGCTCTTCGTGGTTTCAGTATAGCGAACAGCGAGGAAGGTCGGAACATACAGCAGCGATACGAGAGGTTGATCAAGATTTTCAGTGATAAAGAGGACGATCTGTTCGCGGAATGGGCGCGGATTGTACCCAGCACCGTGGCTATTGGTCTGAATCGCAATATCCTCTCGCGGGAGAAGGATTCCACGTTGCTATTGAACTTCGATCCCGAGCTGTTGGGCGTTCTGAAGGAGGTGAACTATCTGAAGCAGATGTCGCGGTCGGATATCCCTGAGGAAGCGATAAAGGTTGGGAGACAATTTTATATTTGACTCTCGGAGGCACCCTGCACACCTGTGTGGTGTAGGTGCGTGACGGCGCGGAGAGGGGCGAAACGGGGTGCGGCGTGTGCGAGTGAGGGTGGTCCTAGGGGGAAAGTTTTTCGGCCTAGGGGCCCAGAGTTTTGCGAGTCATCGAGAGAGCGACAAGTCGAGAGGTTGAGAGGGTATTGAGAGGATATTTCATTAAAATAAAATGCTTATTTTCTACATCTATTACTGTACTCATCTAGGTGTCCGAGAACGCGGAGACGTTCAGGAAATTCCGCACCCTGTTGGGTGGCACGGTGGACTCGTACAACAACATATGCAAGACGACCAGGCGGGTCGAGTTCCAGCTGATCGAGAAGGAGATAACCAGGATCGATTCGCTGGTGTTTCGGGGCGAGGAAGAACTCTGTTGGAAGTCTGACGGTGTTTTGGAGTACATCGAGGAGCTGGGCGAGCTGGTGGAGGGTCTCTGGAAGCGGATGAAATCCGCCCAGACAAACGTGGAGAGGATCAAAGACATCCTGGAACCCTGGACGAAGACGCCTCTGATCGAGAGGAGGGATCGTCGTAAGGATGCTTTATTATCGTTCGACGAACGACCGGAGAAAGTATCGAGACGCTACGCCGAGGTCGAGAGAGCAGCTGGACAGATTCACTCGTTACTGGAGGAGAACAAGATGCTCTTCCAAGTTTCCGACGAAATGGAAGAGCCCTGGCAAAGATACGTGGCTTACGTTGATGGTATTGCAATGGAATCACTTCGAAGGGCAGTAGGGTGTTCGTTAGGTGAATGGTTTCCATGTTTTCCCCCGATTGAACCTTTTCCAACTTCCTAACCCACCGACAACCTTTCTTTCTCTTCGGCTTAGGATACCTGGTGGAGAATATGGACCCAAACGGAAACACGGAGCCGTTATTGGAGGCGAAGTTGGAACTCAGAGAGCCGGATCTTTATTACATACCATCCCTGGAACCGGACGATCCAGATGGGCTGGATCAATTGATTCTAGCTCTCCTGAACGACATCATCGGCATGGCTGCCCTGGTGCCGAGGATCAAAAAGAATTCCACAGGATACGCGGAAGAACTGGAGGACGATGCTGACATTAAAGGAATGAAGAATGATATCATGAATAACGTGGGGAATGCGATCGAAGAAGCGACTGAATTTTGTAGCAATTTCGAAGGTGATCTGAAAGATGAATCTTTGAAACGTTCCAGTTTTATTGTTATCAGATGATCGTGTCTGGACTATGGTTTCCTTATTTCATTTTATCAGGATACGCCTATCTCTGGTTAGACGATAGGGACATGGTGATGCAACAGTTCCTCGAGTACAGCCGACAATTGACGATGGAGGAAATGGAGATGGTGGCCGTGCAGGATCCCAAGGGACCGGGACGGTCACCGCCGAAAATGGAGCAATTCCGCGAACAAATCGACCTTTACGAGGGCCTCTATCTCGAGATCGAGGAAATGGAAGCGTCGAAAGTGTTTTGTGGCTGGTTCAGGGTAGACCTGAGACCCTTTAGACAGTCGGTGCTGAACATGGTCTGCAAATGGTCGAGCATGTTCAAAAGACATCTGGTCGATCGTGTTACCAGCAGTCTCTCCGATTTGGGATCCTTTATAAGGTGTCTTTCTTTTTTTATTGCAGCACCCTTTTATCGCGTTTTCTCTGATAAAGTAATCTACTAAAAATGTTTCTGACGTCAACATTATGAAATTTAATACACCTTCGCGAAGGTAGAATTAAATGGTAGTTTCTGGACAGGCGAGCAGACGAGGGTCTCTTACAACCCATACAACCAGGCGATTACGCTGGTCTCGTCAGCGTGATGGGATACCTACTGCAAGTGAAAGAAAGGCAACCAATCACCGACGAAATGTTTCAACCCTTAGAAGAAACGATAGAACTGTTGAAGTTCTACGATCAAGACATTCCAGAGGAAGTGAACGTATTGCTTCAGGAACTACCAGAGCAATGGTCAAACACGAAGAAACTAGCCCTGATGGTCAAACAGCAGGTGGCTCCATTACAAGCAGGTACATAAATAAAATGATCCTGAATCTTTGAAAAATTAACGAAGGAAATAATGACAGGCGAGGTATCCAGAATACGAGGACGAATCTCCGCGTTCGACACAACCATAACTCTCTATCGCGAAGCATTTCGTCGGTACAGTTTCTTCAAGTACGACTGCGAGAATCCTTACGAGTTATTAGACGAAGGACACAAAGAGATACTGATGCTGGAACGTCAGATGAAGGATATACAAGAGTCTGCGTCACTGTTTGAAGTGACGGTACCAGAGTTCAAAGTACTGAAACAATGTAGGAGGGAGCTGAGGATGCTTAAGCAGCTATGGGACTACGTGAACATCGTTAGGAGCAGTATAGAGGGGTGGAAAACGACACCCTGGAGAAAAATCGACGTGGAGAACATGGACATCGAGTGTAAGAAGTTTGCCAAAGAGATACGAGGTTGGTGATCGATAATTAACGTTTCAAATGAAATAAGTGGAAGTGTTATTGATGTATGCATTGGAATAATTAGCACTGGACAAAGAAATGAGATCGTGGGACACTTACGTATCGCTGGAGGCAACCGTGAAAAATATGCTGACGTCCCTGAGGGCTGTGGCCGAACTCCAGAACCCCGCCATTCGAGAAAGACATTGGAGACAATTGATGAACAGCACTAAGGTATCCTCAGGGTTCAAAGATCGATGACTAAGTATACGAAACGAATATCGGTGTCCCTTTTTTCCCTAAAAGATCGTGTCTGTGTTTTTGTAACAATTTTTCTTACGAATAGCGAGAATCAGAGTTAGGTGAAATTTTGCGAATTAAAATGTGTATTCACCAAGATCTTAGAGAGTTAGTTGCACCGCTGTATATACGCTATCGGTGTTACAGAAACTGGGCGACATGACTCCAGAAATGACCGTAAGTCCACTGTACATACGCGCACCTTTTGTAATTTATAAAAATTCTAAGCACCGAAGAGTCAATTACAGCGGTCACCAAACTACGGCCCTCGACTTTTATTTATAAATTTTTTATATAAGAAATATTAATTTTATGATTAATTTTAATATTTTCCATTATAAATTCCAATACAAACTATATCTGTTTACACGTGCAATATAAATTAACGTTCTAATAAGATTTCAATAAGAATATTTTTCGTCCGGCCCTCATGTTTTTAAAAATTTCAATCCGACCCGTTTCCCAAAAAGTTTGGTGACCCCTGAATTAGTAGCATGCAGCACAATTTTTCAATATTTTTGTACACCTTCACTGTAAATAATAATTCATTCAATAAATTGAATTTTCTACATTAAACACGTTTCTTTTATAAACACACCTATCACTTCTTCACCTTCTTTCTTTGAATAAACTGATCATCGTATCGAGATGACGATCAGCAGAGACACATGCGATTAGGTAAGATTCGTCATGGACGAGTCGACCACGTTGGCAGACCTGTTGGAATTGAATCTGCACGAATGCGAGGAGGAAGTGAAGAACATCGTGGACAAGGCTGTGAAGGAAATGTCGATGGAAAAGTACATGAGGGAACTGAATGCCACGTGGTCGAAGATGGAGTTCGAAAAGGAAGTCCACGCCAGAACCGGCGCAACTTTGATCAGAGCCAGCGAGGAGCTGATCGAGACTCTGGAAGAGAATCAGGTAGCATTTCGTATAAAATGGACACCTCGAAGGTAACGCGATTAGGCTACCTTTCCTTAGGTGCAGCTGCAAAATCTCATCACTTCGAAGTTCATCGCCCACTTCTTGGAGGAGGTGTCCAGCTGGCAGAAGAAACTGAGCATCGCCGACCAGGTGACCACGATTTGGTTCGAGGTTCAACGAACCTGGATGCACCTCGAGAGTATCTTCACCTCGTCGGAGGACATACGGAGGCAATTGCCCGTGGACGCGGAACGATTCGACCGGATCGACAAGGAGTTCAAGCGTATGACGGAGGAGCTGGCGAGGACGTTGAACGTAGTGGAGGCGACGAACAAAGAGGGTCTCGTATCCGCTCTGGACGTGTTACAAAAGGAGCTCGTTCTCTGCGAGAAAGCTCTGGCAGAGTATCTGGAAACGAAGCGTCTCGCGTTTCCACGTTTCTACTTCGTTTCGTCGAGCGATCTGCTGGATATTCTGTCGAATGGAAATCAGCCAGAGGTGGTCGCCAAGCATCTGACGAAATTGTTCGACTCCATGGCCCGATTGAAATTCGATGACGCGGCAGCTAGCTCGCCGAAACTCGTATCGGGTATGTAAGCTACGTCGAGGAATAAAATCGGACCGCGATACGATTTACCGATTCGCTTCGAGAGATCGTTTCTTCTTTTACGTCAAGGTATGTTCGCCAAGGACGGCGAATACGTCGAATTCGCCAACTGCGAGATGAACTGCGAGGGAGCGGTGGAGGTGTGGTTGAACCGACTGCAACGGGTCATGAGAGTCACCATTCGACATTACTTCAGCGAGGCGGTGGTGACGTACGAGGAAAAAGCTCGGGAGCAATGGTTGTTCGATTACCCCGCTCAGGTCTCCCTTTGTGGCACGCAAATCTGGTGGACCACCGAGGTGAACATCGCGTTCTCCCGATTGGAAGAGGGCTACGATAATTCGTTGAAGGACTATCTGAAGAAACAAATTTCTCAGCTGAGTATACTGATCGCGTTGCTGATCGGTGAGCTGACGAAACAGGAGAGACAGAAGGTGATGACGATCTGCACGATCGACGTGCACTCAAGAGACGTGGTCGCCAAGTTGGTGCAATCGAAGGTGGAATCATCCCAGGCCTTCCAATGGCAGAGCCAACTACGCCATCGATGGGACGAGAAAGAAAAGGATTGTTTTGCTAATATTTGTGACGCCCAGTTCAAATATTCGCACGAATATCTGGGCAACACACCTAGGTGCTCTTACTAACATTCTTCCTATAACTCTTTAGATCCGTTTAACTACCATCTGCATCTTCCAATTTACCCTTCTAATTTGTCTCTCGATTTAGGTTAGTAATAACACCACTGACGGACAGGTGTTACATAACACTGACCCAGTCCCTGCATTTAATCATGGGCGGCGGACCAGCCGGCCCAGCTGGGACGGGGAAGACTGAAACGACGAAAGATTTAGGCAGAGCTCTCGGCATAATGGTATACGTGTTCAACTGCTCCGAGCAAATGGATTACAAGTCTTGCGGCAACATATACAAAGGCCTGGCGCAGACCGGCGCATGGGGTTGTTTCGACGAATTCAATCGAATCACCGTTGAAGTGTTATCGGTGGTGGCAGTACAAGTGAAATCGATCCAGGACGCCATCAGAGATAAGAAAGAAAAGTTTAATTTCATGGGAGAAGTGATCGGTCTGGAGCCAACCGTTGGTATATTCATCACCATGAACCCTGGCTACGCAGGCCGTACCGAGTTACCAGAGAACCTGAAGGCCTTATTTCGACCCTGCGCAATGGTCGTCCCTGATTTCGAGCTGATCTGCGAGATCATGTTGGTGGCAGAAGGATTTCAGGACGCTAGAATCCTGGCCAGGAAGTTCATCACCCTGTACACCCTATGCAAGGAGCTGTTATCGAAGCAGGACCATTACGACTGGGGATTACGCGCGATAAAGTCCGTCCTGGTGGTCGCCGGAAGTCTAAAGCGAGGAGACCCAGGCAGACCGGAAGAACAAGTTCTGATGAGAGCCCTTCGCGACTTCAATATACCCAAAGTTGTCTCTGACGACCTGCCGGTCTTCATGGGTCTGATAGCCGACTTGTTCCCCGCGTTGGACGTCCCCAGGAAACGGGACGTCGAGTTCGAGAAAATGGTGAAACAAGCGGCTGCTGATCTACTGCTTCAACCGGAGGACGGGTTCATCTTGAAAGTGGTCCAACTTGAGGAACTACTGGAAGTAAGACACTCCGTCTTCATCGTGGGTATTGCAGGCTCGGGTAAGACCCAAGTCTGGAAGACTCTATTCAGAACCTATCAGAACATGAAGAGGAAGCCTGTGTACAACGATCTGAATCCGAAAGCTGTGACCAACGACGAACTGTTCGGAATAATCAACCCAGCGACGAGGGAATGGAAAGACGGTCTCTTCTCTGTGATCATGAGAGAGCAGGCGAATTTGGGTGGTGAAAACCCAAAATGGATCGTCCTGGATGGCGACATCGATCCCATGTGGATCGAGTCCTTGAACACTGTCATGGACGACAACAAAGTGCTGACCTTAGCCAGTAACGAAAGGATAGCTTTGACACCAGTGATGAGGCTGCTGTTCGAAATCTCGAACCTGAGGACCGCCACCCCAGCCACGGTATCCCGTGCTGGTATCTTGTACATCAATCCTCAGGATTTAGGCTGGAATCCTTACGTCACCAGCTGGGTAGAGAAAAGAACATCCCCCATCGAGAAATCCAATTTGGTCATGTTATTCGACAAGTACATTCCTCCTTGTCTGGATACCTTGAGGACGAGATTTAAAAAGATCACACCTATAGCCGACATGGCGCACGTGGAGATGCTCTGTCATCTTCTTCATTGTCTCTTAAAGCCAGAACTAACCGGTACCGACTTCCTGAAGGAACACTACGAGCTCTACTTTGTGTTCGCGGCTGTATGGTCCTTCGGTTCATCGATGTTCCAGGATCAGATGATAGATTATCGAGTGGAGTTCAGTAAATGGTGGGTCAACGAGTTCAAGCAAATCAGATTCCCCTCTCAAGGTACGGTCTTCGATTACTATATCGATGCTGAGACGAAGAGCTTCGTCCCGTGGACTGAACGTCTTCCTAAATTCGAACTGGACCCCGAAATGCCTTTGCAAGCGGTTTTGGTCTACACCGCGGAATCGATCAGGATCAAGTATTTCCTGGATCTTCTGATGGCCGAGAGACATCCGGTGATGCTGGTCGGCACAGCTGGTTGCGGGAAGACGGTGCTGGTCGCTGAGAAACTACTCCACTTACCAGAGAACTACGCGGTCTCCAACGTACCCTTCAATTTCTACACTTCGTCGGAGATGTTGCAGAAGATCCTGGAGAAATCCCTGGAGAAGAAAGCCGGCAGGAATTATGGACCACCGGGAAACAAAACCTTGGTGTACTTCATCGACGACATGAACATGCCTGAAGTTGATGGCTATGGAACGGTCCAGCCTCATACTCTGATTCGTCAGCATTTGGACTATGGTCACTGGTACGACAGGACGAAGTTGACGTTGAAGGACATCCACAATTGTCAATACGTCAGCTGTATGAACCCTACGGCGGGTTCTTTCACGATCAATCCAAGATTGCAGAGACACTTCTCAGTGTTCGCTGTTAGTTTTCCCAATACCGAATCTCTGACCACGATCTATGCTTCAATTTTATCTCAGCACCTGGCAAACATCGAGCACAGGTTAGTTCTTCGTTAAAAAGATTTTCGAATCGTTACTCAATTTTTATTTTAATAGATTTCCAAGCTCCGTTATCGATCTATGCAACAACATCGTCCAAGCATCGATTCAATTACACCATCGGTGTGCCCAGATGTTCCTCCCAACAGCAGTCAAGTTCCACTACATCTTCAATCTCCGTGACTTGTCCAACTGTTTCCAAGGATTACTATTCAGCGGCAACGAGTGCCTACAGTCCTCCATAGACCTGATCAGACTGTGGCTTCACGAAACCCATCGCGTTTACGGGGACAAACTTACCGACGAGAAAGACATAGAAAGTTTCTCTAAACTGCAGTTGGATATCTTGAAGAAGAACGTGGAGGAAGTGGACGAGGGTGCTGTTTTAGAGAAACCAAATATTTTCTGTCACTTTGCTGGTAAATATAGTGTACTTCGTAAGATTCAAAAATCTTTAAAACATCTTTGAAAATATCAGGTGGAGTTGGCGAACCAAAGTACATGGCGGTGAAAGATTGGTCCACGCTTCACAGACTGCTATCCGAGGCGATGGTCAGCTACAACGATCTAGTAGCCGCCATGAATTTGGTGTTGTTCGAGGACGCGATGATGCACGTGTGTCGCATAAACAGAATCTTGGAATCGCCGAGAGGAAGTGCGTTACTGGTTGGCGTAGGAGGATCCGGCAAGCAGAGCTTATCTCGGCTAGCGGCTTTCATAAGTTCATTGGAGGTGTTCCAAATCCAATTGAAGAAGGGTTACGGAATCGTTGATCTGAAACTTGAGCTCGCGGTGTTGTACACCAAGTCTGGATTGAAGAACCTGGGCCTAGTGTTCTTGATGACCGACGCGCAGGTGGCGAACGAGCAGTTCCTCGTGCTCATCAACGACATGCTAGCTTCCGGCGAGGTTCCAGACCTGTTCGCCGAGGACGAGATGGAAAACATAATTGCAGGTTGTCAAATCGAGCCTCGGACGTAATCCTACAATTATTATACGATATCGAAACTTCCCGTAGGAGTACGGAACGAGGTGAAAGGTGCAGGCATGCTGGACACCCGCGAGAACTGTTGGAAGTTCTTCATCGACCGGGTGCGCAGACAGCTTCGTATAGTTCTCTGTTTCTCCCCGGTCGGCTCGACTTTAAGGGTGCGCTCGAGGAAATTCCCGGCGATAATAAATTGCACGGCGATCAACTGGTTTCACGAATGGCCGCAAGAAGCTTTGATGTCTGTATCGAAGAGGTTCCTGCAGGAGTTGGACCAACTTCCGGAAAGTTACAGGTATCGATCGCGACATGCACGACCGGTCTGGATAGACGTGACGGGATAAGTATCGGGATACCTTCGATCCAGGGAATCGGCGGCGAAATTCATGGCCCATGCTCATACGAGCGTGAACACGGCCAGCAGACATTATTTAGCTAGTGAACGTCGTTACAACTACACGACGCCTAAGTCGTTTCTCGAGCAGATCAGCTTGTACAGCAGACTGTTGAAAACGAAGGCTAGCGAGCTTCGAGGTAGGGTTTGCAGATTGGAGAACGGTCTGGAGAAACTTCGTTCGACGGCTGTGCAGGTGGACAAACTAAAGGAGAAACTGGCGGTGCAGGAGGTGGAATTGCAGCAGAAGAACGATGCTGCCGATGCTTTGATCACGATCGTCGGCGTGGAAACGGATAAGGTTCAGAAAGAGAAGGCTATAGGTAAGTGTTGCGACAGAATGAAACATATAAATGATGTTAAACGCTGTTTGTTTCATTCAGCGGACGAGGAGGAGTCCAAGGTGGCCATAATAGCGGAGGAGGTATTGAAAAAACAAAAGGATTGCGAGGTGGACTTGATGAAAGCAGAGCCGGCTTTACTGGCGGCCCAAGAAGCACTGAATACACTGAACAAGGCGAATCTCACCGAACTGAAGTCGTTCGGTTCGCCTCCTGGAGCTGTGACAAACGTGACCGCTGCGGTGATGGTCCTTCTGGCTCCTTCTGGTAAAATACCCAAGGACAGAAGTTGGAAAGCTGCCAAGGTACACGCGGAACAGTGTCAAATTCGACGATGCACCACCGTTTTCGATTTATAGATCACGATGGCCAAAGTAGACACGTTCTTGGACGCTCTGATCAATTACGACAAGGAGAATATTCATCCGGAAGTGATCAAAGCGATCCAACCGTATCTGAAGGACTCTGAATTCGAGCCAGAATTCGTCCGATCGAAATCCGCGGCGGCGGCGGGTCTCTGCGCTTGGGTGATCAACATAATCAAATTCTACGAGGTGTTTTGCGACGTGGAGCCGAAGCGTAAAGCGTTGGCGCAGGCGAACGCAGAGCTGGCCGCCGCTCAGGAGAAGCTGGGCGTGATCAAACGCAAAGTTGTCGTACGTAAACGACAGAGAAACACGATTTTCATTTAATTTAAATTAACTACTTGTTTTTCGAACAGTCGTTGGAGGAACAATTGGCGAAGCTGACGGCGGATTTCGAACAAGCGACGTCGGAGAAGCTCAAGTGTCAACAGGAAGCGGATGCGACCAACGCGACGATCGCGCTTGCCAACAGGCTTGTCGGTGGTTTGGCTTCGGAAAATATACGATGGGCGGACTCTGTGGCTAAGTGAGTTCAATTACGACGAAAGAAATTACGATAAATGAAATAATTGAATTTCTAGCTTCATGCAACAAGCGTCCACGTTACCCGGTGACGTGTTACTGGTAACAGCGTTCATCTCCTACGTTGGATGCTTCACCAAACAATTCCGTCAGGATCTGTTGCACAAACAGTGGCTACCGTTTCTGCGAAGCGTCGAACCAACGATTCCGATCACGGAAGGGTTGGACCCTTTGTCCCTGTTAACCGACGACACTCAAATAGCCAAGTGGAACAACGAGGGACTGCCAAACGATAGAATGTCCACGGAGAACGCCACCATTCTCACCAACTCGGATCGTTGGCCCCTGATGATCGACCCTCAGGTACGCTTCTATTTCGTTAGCGAACCGTGCGACCCGAAATCTCGTCATTTTTCTTTCAGCTTCAAGGAATCAAATGGATCAAGCAGAAGTACGGGGAGGAGCTACGCGTCATTAGATTAGGGCAAAAGGGTTACTTGGACGTGATCGAACAGTCCCTAGCTACCGGTTCAACGGTCCTCGTAGAGAACATCGGTGAAACGGTAGATCCGGTGCTTGATCCTCTGTTAGGCAGAAACTTGATTAAGAAGGGTCGCGCGATTAAGATCGGTGACAAGGAGGTTGAATACAATCCGCTGTTCAGATTATTATTGCACACGAAGCTGGCTAATCCCCATTACAAGCCGGAGATGCAGGCTCAAACTACTCTAATTAATTTCACGGTAACGAGGGACGGACTCGAGGATCAATTACTCGCCGAGGTAGTGAAAGCCGAGCGACCGGATCTCGAGGAGCTGAAGGCTGAACTAACCAGGCAACAGAATGACTTCAAGATTACCCTGAACAGTTTGGAAGATTCGCTTTTATCAAGGTCTAATCATATCCCTCGTGCCGATGATATTTTTCTAATTTGATAATCCAACGATCTTATCGTCGCAGATTGTCATCAGCGGGTAGCAACGTCTTAGGGGACACCTCCTTGGTGGAAAATCTCGAGACGACGAAGAGAACCGCGGCGGAGATCGAATGCAAAGTGACGGAAGCGCGTGGAACCAGCGGAGAAATCGACGCTGCGCGAGAATTATATCGACCAGCCGCTACCAGGGCCTCTTTACTCTACTTCATCCTGAACGATCTGAACACCATCAATCCGATCTATCAATTCTCTCTGAAAGCTTTCAGCGTGGTGTTTCAAAAAGCCATCTCGAAGGCCGATCCCGCGGCAGACGTGTCCGGGAGAGTGAAGAATCTGATCGAGTGCATCACTTATTCCGTGTTCATGTACACGACCAGGGGTCTGTTCGAGTGCGACAAACTGATTTTCGCGTCGCAAATGGCGTTTCAGATACTGTTGGCGAGAAACGAGGTGACATCCAGCGAGCTCGACTTCCTTCTGCGATTCCCAGTCACGCCTCACGTCACATCCCCCGTGGATTTTCTTACCAACACCAGCTGGGGCGGAATAAGGAGCCTGGCCAGCAGGGAGGAATTTCGGTACGCGTGTCTGACTGAGTCTGCGAAATCGAGGTTACGAAAAAAAAAAAATTGTCCATCTTTGCGCAGTAATCTGGACAGAGACATAGAGAGTTCGGCGAAAAGATGGAAGAAGCTGGTGGAATGCGAGTGCCCGGAGCGAGAGAAATTCCCGCAGGAGTGGAAAAACAAAACGACCATTCAGCGGCTCTGCATGCTCAGGGCACTTCGTCCTGACAGAATGACGTACGCGATCGCCGCGTTTATCGAGGAGAAACTGGGCCCCAGATACATCGAGGGCCGTACCGTCGAGTTCGCTAAATCGTTCGAGGAAACCAGCCCTACCACACCCATCTTCTTCATCCTCTCTCCAGGCGTGAATCCTCTGAAGGTAACACCGAGCCAGACATCCGTGTCCCCATAAACTCGACCGATCCACGTTTCAACAGGACGTGGAGGACTTGGGTCGTCGTTTGGGTTACACGTTGGACAATCAGAACTTCCACAACGTGTCCCTTGGTCAGGGTCAGGAAACGGTCGCCGAGCAGGCTATGGACGTGGCGGCTAAGAACGGCCACTGGGTGGTTTTGCAGAACATCCATTTGGTGAAGAAATGGTTGCCACTGTTGGAGAAGAAGTTAGAAATAGCCGCAGAAGGTTCTCATGAAGATTACAGAGTCTTTATGAGTGCTGAACCAGCTAGCACTCCAGCAGGACACATCATACCTCAAGTAACTTCTCATTCTCCTCTTTGAATATCGTTTTAAGAAATTATGTGAAATTGAAAATGTATGAATTAGGGTATCTTGGAATCATCCATCAAGATCACAAACGAACCACCCACAGGGATGCAAGCGAACTTGCACAAAGCCTTAGAAAATTTCACTCAAGAGACACTGGAGATGTGCAGTAAAGAAGCCGAATTCAAGGCGATTCTATTTTCTTTGTGTTACTTTCACGCGGTGGTCGCTGAACGCAGGAAATTCGGTCCACAGGGCTGGAATAAAATCTACCCCTTTAACGTGGGGGACCTACATATCAGCGTGAGCGTGTTGTACAATTATTTAGAAGCCACGTCCAAGGTACCCTGGGAGGACTTGAGGTTCGTGTCGACGATTTTAATATGCACCTTTCACGAACGATTTTAAATGAACCTATTATGCAAAGGTATCTATTTGGAGAAATTATGTATGGAGGACACATCACTGACGACTGGGATAGGAGACTCTGTGTCTCCTATCTGGAGGAGTTAATGCAACCTGATTTGGTCGATGGAGAGCTGCAACTAGCGCCAGGTAAAACGGAAATAACAAATTTTAATAATAATTCCTCGAGTTTTAAATATTTTCCAGGATTCCCAGCACCGCCTAACACAGACCTAGCCGGCTACCATTCGTACATCGACGAAGCGATGCCCCCAGAGTCGCCCTATTTGTACGGTTTGCACCCGAACGCTGAAATAGGTTTTCTGACAATGACCGCGGAGAACCTATTCAAAACGGTGTTCGAGATGCAGCCCCGAGACGCGGGTAGTTCCGGCGGGCAAACAGTAACGAGGGAAGACAAGGTACCCCTCGATTCGTTCTCTATTATTCCCGTTGAACTGGTATCGGTTCATCGGTGTCTGTTCGAAGGTGAAACAAACACTTGACGAAATAATGGAGAAACTTCCGGAGGAGTTCAATATGTCCGAAATAATGGGCAAAGTGGAGGAAAGAACACCGTATGTGATAGTGGCGTTTCAGGAGTGCGAACGAATGAACCACTTGACCAGCGAAATGAAACGATCGCTTCGCGAACTGGATTTAGGTCTGAAGGGTGAACTGACCATCACCTCGGATATGGAGGACTTGGAGAACGCGTTATTTCTCGACCAAGTACCGCCGGTCTGGGCGAAAAGAGCTTATCCCTCTTTATTGGGTCTCGCCGCTTGGTTCGTCGATCTCCTCTTGCGAATCAGAGAGCTGGAAACCTGGTCAACGGACTTTGTTGTAAGATTCTACTCCGTCGAACCGCTGATTCGACGAAGGAACGTTTTAAAATGATTGTTTCAGTTGCCACCTTCGGTATGGCTGGCTGGATTCTTCAATCCGCAGTCTTTGCTGACGGCGATCATGCAATCGACAGCCAGAAGACAAGAGTTGCCTTTGGACAAAATGTGCTTGCAATGCGACGTGACGAAGAAGAACAAAGAGGAATTCACGTACGTGAATTACACCTGAATCTTCGATCGATTCGTTTATTTGATATTTTTTTAAATATTAGCGCAGCACCGAGGGACGGAGCGTACATTCATGGGATCTTCATGGAAGGAGCGCGATGGGACGTGCAGACAGGCATCATAGTCGACTCGAAACCCAAGGAATTATTCCCTCCGATGCCTGTGATCAACGTACGTGCGATCACCCAGGACAAACAGGATCTCAGGAACATGTACGAGTGTCCTGTATACAAGACGAGAACTCGAGGACCCACTTATGTGTGGACGTTCAATTTGAAGACCAAAGACAAACCGGCAAAATGGACCCTGGCTGGCGTAGCCTTGTTACTTCAAACTTAACTCTGTTATTTATCATCATTTTAGAAAATTCATGTTTTAATAAAGATGTCGATGAAACGTACATGTAGTCATTTTTATTTGATATCCAATAGCCTAATACCAGAAATAAACTTGGACGTATCATTAACCAAGATGAACGATCCAAAATTAATCTCCCTTTAAGAAGAAACACGACTCCCATCTGCCCAATGATTCCAATAATAAACAGTGGACGTCGGTGATCGTGGTGGAGGAAGAATAATTCGAGCGTAAATCTCGAAGGAGCCATCGAACGGAGGATATCACGGGGTCGACTAATCGACCGAGAGTTAATAAACCGTAAGACAGAAGAAAATCGACGAAAGGTCTCCGGAGAAGGATCCTCTCATCCTCCCCTGTCTTTCCACCCTTTTTCGGGGCTAGCTGAGCCGAGTTTTCCGCGAGAGAGACGAAAAGGAAGGATATTATCCGTCATTCGACGAAACAAAACGGTGCCTGCCGGTTCTCCCTCGATGCTTCCTCCGTAGGATCGATACTCGCGAGCGAGGCAAACAAAACCGGCTACGAAACGTTGGTCAATTTAATATATACACTGGTAAGAGAGATGAAAAGGGAAGGTAGGAAAAGTAGAAGAAGCAGAGGGTGGATTTGTAAGGTGAAAACGCATAGAGGATACAAGATTTACCCGCCTCGGGGACATGAAAGCTTTCAGATTGCGGCGCGAGATCAAAATTGTATCGTGTTAGCGAAAGAAATTAGATTTTCCTTTCCCGTGGTAACGTCGAAGCGAGCAACGTTTTCGTTGGGGAACGATCTCTCTCGCTACAAGAATGGAATCCCATCAAATATGCAGAGGTTATTAGCTCTCGAAGAAGCGCGGAAAAATGTTTGCCCTTCCAGTTCCTTCTCCTCCCTTCTAACCTTTTATACAGCCCCTTCTACGCTTTTCGGCCTCTTTAAGACAGACCGACGATAAACTCTTGTTGATCAACCAGTTCCCTAACACGGATAGTGGCTTTACACAAAGACAGGATCAATCTTTTTACGCAAATAACAACTTTGTTTCAATTCTTCTTCGAAATCAGAAGCATCGTTTAACTGATTTATTTACCACGAGCAAACCAAACATTTTTCACCGTCGATACTGTAATAACAGTTTGATTATCCGGACACGAGGAAAGTCCGACAGTTTGGACGATACCCTCTCTCCCTTTCTCTCTCTGTACAAAGTCAACTCATGAATCCCATCGAATCAAAGGGGAGAGAAAAACGCGTTGGTCCCTTTCGATGGAGGCCGGTGATTGGCTGCCAAACACCCTCTTCGCGATTCGTACCGATCGATCGGCCCCTCGTGCACCGGCTTCAATCACGGTTTTCATTAAGCCTCGCCGGTCAGCGAAGGGTAAGGAAGGAACGGTATCGAATAGCCGGTGTTCTCTGTGCGTCAACCAGATGATAGTTGCCTCTCTATTTTCGACGAGAAGAAAGCTAACCGAAGATCAACTCAAAAAAAAGGAAGAACTTTTACGACGATAACTTACAACAAGATTAGGTCCATAAAACGATCGTTAATTTCCGGCTGGTTGTACAAAACGACAGCTTAACGAGGCAATTTAATGTTTCGCGATTATACGACACACGAGGATCCTTCGTCAGGGTACGTTTCGAAGGGTACATCTCGTATAATGAGCGATCGATAGCGGAGAATATAATAAGAGGAAGAGGCTTCCAAGAACTGCGGGAGTGTTTCTTTGACAAAGAATTCTTGGCAACCGGTAATCTCTCCCCTCGGAATGCTAATTTGGATGGCGTAGGAACGTGCCTCTGTCCCTTGCTCTTCGAGCCGCGTATTTAATTCGTTGAAATTCCCTTCGAGCGGATTTCCAGCTTCAATTTTGAGTATCGCCAGCGAACTGGCGCACACGTGTTGGCGCTCGTGCACTCGCATCTGCTTGGAACGCGATTATTAATAGAGGCTCGTTAGAGTGACAAATCGCTTGTCAAAACGACGTGACACGCGTTGCTCGTGCGTTCGTTTTCTTCTCAACGATTCTCGATCGATCGGCGAATCTCCGTGGATCCGTTTAATCAACCATCGAACTCGGTGTTCGCGTGATAAAGGGTTGATTTCTGTCGAGGGTTGCGTTCGAGAATGAGTTAGAAATGAAATAAACAAGACGCTAGGAAAATGGCACTTGGAAAAATTGTTGAAAAAAACGCGTATTACTTACCGGGAGACAACGACATCGTTCGGAAGGGTGCCCTCGAGGTTCGCAAGGAGGGAACAGGGGAAGAATCATTAAAAATCAGGCTCGAGTAAGCGGACGGTAGGAAGAGTTAACGACGTCTTTGTGCCATCCTGAAAGCCAGCCGAGATCCATTTTTCATCGGCGTCAGCACGGGCCCGGGCTGGCGAACGTTTCCCTTTTCGGCAGGTTAATCATTTTTAAAGGGGGCGACCGCAGGTGTCCCAACCGCCAGGATACTCGTCGCGACCTTATATTAAACAGAGGTAGAGAGAGTTAGATAGGGCTGGGATGTTTCGTAGGCATGCGAGCCTACGACTTTCCGGCTGAGAATTAAATTTTCCGCGAGAGAAAGGGAAAATCACCCTCGCAGTGCGAGACAGCCGGCCTCCTGTTCGCAGCGCGAAATAATGAAAAGCCCTGGCACAATTTGCTTTGCATACGAGTGACATTTTTCACTTCTGTCAAGACTCTGACGTGCCCTCCATTGTTCCGTCTCTTTCCTTCTCTTTAACACTCGCACCGCCGTCAGAAAACGAGCTTAAAAATCTTTTTTCAGACCCACGCCTTATGCTTCCAATATTTATGTTACGCGTTAAAGGTTTATTTAACCCGGACGATCACACATTTCATCTCGGAACATTACGTTACCCTTTGTTTTTCTTCTCCGTTCCGCTGTCGCGTGTTTCACGGTCCACTTGACGAATGGACGAAATCATCGTCGTGCCGTGGTTAGGCTTCTCTTCGAGGTCCGAGCCGAGGTAAATCCTGGAGGAAAGGAGTCCAGGCACAGCGAAGGTGTCACGTGTTCGCCATAACTCTTCGTCGCGGCCTCGATGAATTTTCCTCGCTAATGTTGTGCCAACAAGCGACCGCGTTTTTCTCGTATGCCGATAAATTCGTCCCCCCCACGTGTCGCCGGTTATCGTGCTCTCTGTCGCATATTAATTATCATGACTACGCATGCTTCTCTGCGATAATTACTTTCTTTTTTGTCCCGAGTTTGCCGCACCGCGGTCACGCTCCCTGTTTGTTACTGTTATCTAAATAATTATTACGACCTACACCGGACGATATATTGAAAGCGTGACGATCGATTCGCGAGACGAACAAGAACGCGACGTCGCTGAAGGGTTAATTGAATTATTCGACGTTCCGAGATAATTATCCCGGGGTGACGAGGGACGAATCGTGACAACTGAAGAATAATGAAGCCCCGTCTTCGCGAGGACTCACTTATATCGCGTTCAAGCTCCAACGTTTCTCAGTCAGTTAATTTCCGCGCTGTGTTGCGAATTCGAATGAGTCCTGGCGTGCTTCACTTTTGTCGCAATTAAGCGTAATTTATTTACGGGAAGTTGGCTGGTGAGACGCTCGGAACGTCTTCACGGGAAGATGCCTTCGAGGGATTAGCGAAATCAAAGGTGCAAAGACTCGGAGGGATGATGTTCGATAAGCGTGGCGAAACAGACGAGGCGGAATCGGAGGGAAATTAATGAAACACCGGCAAAAGGGATGGACGGAAAAGGGAGGAAGGAGAGACGGTCGGACGACTGGGCTAACTAGAGGATCCTTTGAGTGTCTGCGAGTCGGGCTCAGCAGATCTGTAAACCAATCAGTGACGCCTCGTCGATACGGAAGGCTAAGTCGACGTAACCGGATCGCTCGACTAAACTGCTTACTTGATTACGGCCGTTAGTTAGCGCCCCGTGGTCGTTCGTCTGTGTCGCCTAGAACCCCTTTCCCTGAAATTCTCGTCACGTAGATCGGTTCAATTTTTCCTGTCCATCACCCGTCACCGCCATCCCCCTCCATGGGTTCGGTTCATCTTTTTATTTGTATTTGTATTCCTAGATAGGGTGATTGAAAATTTATGCTGAAAGGTAAACTTTGCCCGGATATATACGCTCGTTCCGCGTTGAAAGGAAATTCAAATTCTTCTCCTAGCACATTTCAACCCCCATAAGGGTGTCGCTCGCTACGACGCAGCTCACAAAGTACACTCGTTTACAAATTACAACGTAAAAGGTTGGATGGCTCGGGTAATCGTGCACGTTACCGAAGAAAACAAGCACGGCGAAATGCGAGGACATTAGGAGAAAATGGGAGGTACGGAACGTATCGAGCGTACGTGCATCGGTTCTAGTCTCGAGAGATTACGGCGGTGAACACGGCGAAGACAGGATACACAGCGAAGCTGACTACTAAATTTGTACTACGTGAATCCACACCAGCCCGATACCTTGCTCTCGTTCCGCGCAAATACTCCAGGGACGAGTGCGGGGGTGGTCGAGTTATTCGATAGGTTCGAGCTTGGCCAAACAACGCCGTTCTGCACCGATTGTACGCTTTCCCTTTTCCCTCCTCGATTCGCCTAGCCGCCCTTCTGTCCCCGGGATTACCAGGATCCATCTATTGTAGTAATTAGTCGACCCGTGCCGATTATCGACCCGACATCGTTTGATCCGTCGAAAGCTGTCTCCGCCTCTCTGCGCTATCGTTCCTACGCGTCGCCTCCATTCGTACGCTATCGTTTGCGTTACCGACCAACCACTGGCCGCGATAAAGAGAATAACGCGCGCGTGTTTAGCCGCGCGTTAATTATTTCACGTTTTCCCGTCTGCCCCGTGTTTGCCAGACGTCCAACGAACTGGCTGCGCTTGCGTCCCAAAACATTATGCTGCAACACGATTTACTCTTATTCAGTCACAAATATTTTTCAGTGTATACTCGGTTTTACTCTTCATTTGCACGAAACGATATCAAACACTGCTTTCGAGCAAACAATCACACCTACGATATTATCGCGGCAAGATCAAACGGAACGTGTATTTCATTATTGATAAAAGCGAGCATAATCGTTAAGAAAATCTTATCAACCGTTGGAAATTATTTGCACTAACCTGAGAATTACCTCGACGAGCAGAAGGAACACAAACGAGATGCCTATTTGAAAGTGGCTCGAAAATAGCGTATGACGCAACCAGGATTCCATTGACTCGCTAATGCGACTGCCAGTCCCGAGGACTTTGCGAACGATTTTACAAACACGAACGTATGATCTTACGAGGAAAACATTATTGGTTAATATTTGCATTTCGGCAGGCCCGCGGCAGGCACAAGTAATCGGCGCGTGATTCATTTCCACGCAGACGTTAATAACGTCGTCGTACGTGATTGCAAAAAAAAAGGAAAAGAAAAATTTGAACGAACTATCGGTAACTTTGAATAAAGCATTCGACATGTCGAAATCCCCGGGGAATGCCGGGGAACGGAAGCTGTTTAACGAAAGGCAGCCCCGAAATCGAGCATCGGGAATGGCTGCACGCGGGTGACCCGAAACCCGTGGATTTATGCCGGGTTATAGGCAGCGTCGGGACGGCTCTAAAATTCCGTCGATCGAGGCCGCTCGGGCGGCGCGGCGCGTAACAACCCTTCGCCAGGCTATTCTCTCTGTTTCAGGGCGTTATCGCGGCTCCCGCAGGGAACACGGGAATCGAGCACAGGCCAGGCCCGCGGAGATTATCCGTATTGGGGAGCAGAGCACGCGGTGTCGAGACAATACCAGGATTTCCGTTCGCTCGATGCGCCTCCATTTTTCTCGATCCGACCCGTTCCCTTTTCCTAGTTACCGGCATGCGTGACTACGCGGCCTGATCTCGCCGACAGGATTTCGACGCGGAGCCGGGGAATCTGGAACCTCGTCGATCGATCGGCAAGATTTGTCGGAAATGGAAATTGATGGATAAGAAACACGCACGGTGAATCATACGATACAAACGCGAGTTACAAATGGAAATGTGTCATTCGCGCTGAAAGTTATGAGAATTCGTCTGTAGAACGATGACATTTGTTGAAAAGAATATAATTGCCTTTACTTAGCGAGCCAGTTAAACACAAAGTGTGAAATAACAAACTGTGTACACTTCACAGTCAACGATAATGTATGAAAATTGCAATCGCTAGAAGAGATGCGAATTGCAAGAGTAAATAATAAGGAAGCATCGCGCTTGTAATTTTACTTGTAGAAATACACGTGTTAAGTATTTTGTTAAAGTAAATTTCTATTAGGGAAAATGAAAAGGACGATGTTTTGAAATAAAAAATGGAATCGAATAAAAGTTTCAGATGATAAAATGTTACATTTGCCCTACGAAACGATCCTTCTCCCCATCACTCTTCAATCCGTATATTTTTTTTTTTCTTTTTTACCATCCATGATGTATATCCACTCACGCGATTCAGGACGATGCTGGTACCTCGGCGCGAGTGTTTCAAGAATTTTTCACGACTAAATCTCCATAGGGGAAAGAAGAGGAGGCCGTTAAATCTTCGCTAGTGGATACTCCTGGACGAAGGCGAATGTCATTTTTCTCACGGAAAGCCGATGCCCGGTGCCATCGATATCACTCGCAGACTTTTGCAACTCGACGGTGAACAAACGCTCGCGTCAGGCTATCCTCGCGGGCCGAGTCCACTTTACATAGGGTGAATAATTCTCTTAGCGTTCCCTTTTCACCCCCTTTCGCCTCGGATCCTCTTAACATCAGGGTCCGAGGAGTATCTTCCAGTCGATCGATTTCCCTTTGGAACGAAATCCGTTGCTTCTCACCTACGCGTCTCGTTGTTCCTCCATCGTTTATCTTAACCCTGTTCCCTGCTTCTTCTTGATCCAAAGAAATTTGCCGAGTCTGGCTTGCCTTTAGTTAAGCTTTTACTTACGACTTTCCTTTTGCAATACGATGAAACTTAAATATTATAAATTTTATATAAATATAAAAGAAAGTAATCTTGTTCAGAAGTCTATCGAATTGTCCGTGCGATGTTCGTCCAGCAGGACGAATGCAATTTAGTCGATCGAGGATACTTGGCGCACACGTTACTCGCATGGAACGGATGTAAAAGGTGCAGCCTGCAATTGCAGCTGACCAGCTGAGTCACTCCAGCGAATAGGGTCAGAACGAGGACGAAGGGTGTGCATTATACGCGAGTCGGTCCGTGACAGGTACGAGACATCGGAACCGATCATTTCTCGATATCGACTACCTCGTTACACGCTAATTGCAAAATGAAAATCGAGAAGCCGAGAGGGTGAATGCCGTGTTCCTATCTCGAGGCTAATAGAAACCTCGGTCGTTTCTTTGCACAAGCACATCCCCTTCGACCTCCTCGACGAGCAACGTATTTATCCTGTTCACGGTCATTATTTCCTTCGTCTGACGACGATTTTGTCCAACGAACCGCCGGAATCATTTTTCCAATCGATTTCCCGATCATTTTGGGAACGATCGACGGGACGGATTCGTCTCTAACGAGCCACTCGAAGAATCAACGGAAATTCCTCTTATTACCAGACCGATTGGAGATATTTCTTTTTTTTTTTATTATCATCCTCTATCGATCCGTTCACCGGTTTTAAGTAATTTAAACACAGAGACGGGTCTGGACGCGTAAACAAACACTCGTTCGTACGTTGATGGAATATTCATACGACGGGATCGTATTTGCGTTTCACCGGGATTATCGTGGCCGTGTCGGTGGCCTTCGTCGAAACGAAGCTCCGGGTTCGGTTACTCAAGAAAATTCCTCGAAATTACCCTCTCGAGACTCGCGGAGGGAAACGTTTCGAAACGGGGAGAAGGACTTTGTACGTCGAAATGGTATTGAGCTCGAATGGCCTCGCGAGATTTGCTCGATGCTGTTTACCCGGCCTCTCTTTTTCCCCTTCGATCCCTTCTTTCCATTAATTAACCGAGAATAAATACCGAACGCATACTCTTACAAACGTGTACGCAAAACGTTTCTTTTATCCTACCATTCGACTGTACTTACTTAATCCGAAGGATTTGTAATATTTTCTTTCGAGGCTACAAATCAGCCAGGTATCGTTATTATCATTTTCATGACGCGCGATAAAGTCTGAAGAAACGGTGAGATTATGCAGATTCGCGGGAGGAGTAGGTGGAGGTAGAAATTTCGCGAACGAATTTGGAGAGCATGCCACGTAGTAACCTGGTAGATTATTCCCCTTTGTTAGTTTACTTGTCGTGCAAGCTGTTATCGGGAGCGTGCCGTCGAGGGGGACGACTGCGAAATTTTCGCCAACCAACATGGCCGTTCCCCGGATCAACCCCTCGGCTAGGTCGATGCCGGAGTTTCCCTGTGTAGGGTGACAGAGGCTTAGGATCCCGGGGACGTATTCCAGCCGCGTTTTACGCACTGCGTATATCATTATCGCGAGTTCATTTCTGCTCGGTTACCCCATTGACTTCGACTAAACGCCGGATCAAAGAGTAACATTCCGTCGTTAAACCCTGCCACCTATAATTCGGTCTTTGCGGGATTTCCTACGAGATCGTGATCGAGTTCCCGAGGGTTCCAACCTCTCTTTGTTCGCGCCATCATAAAATATAAGGCCACGATCGTTTCCGGAACGGCATATGGCGAGGGCAGCGGAGGGAACTGTTTCCGTTTCGACGCCCAATCGATGAATCTCCTAAGGGATTTTTTTTCATGCAATTCATAAAGCTCGTATTTCAGCTTCTTGTTACATAGCAGACATTCTATTCGCTTATTCACACCGGATAAACACATCTTCGTATGAAAGGTTTAACGATAAGCTTTGAATTTCCCACCCTAGTGCTTCAATTTACGCTCTTTCAAATTACTGCAGTACCTTCAGTGGCGTTCAGTGTTTCTCTCAATTTTTTTTTTAATCGTTCAATCAAATTAAATTTGCAACCCCGGTGGCCAATGGGCAGCCATGAAAATAAACGCGTTAAAGCAACGCTCACGGAGCAACCCCCGCGTGAATCGCAATCAGACTGGTCATCGATGGAGTAACACGGGCGGATGGGGGGATGAAAGAGGGAATCAAGGTCAGAGGGCGGAAAAGCTCGCGCGCGCATTTTCACGACGATGCGGTCGTGCAGATGGGAGCGATCGAAAGCAGGGGTGAGTCGGCGGCCATGTCGGTTCCCAATTAAACAAATGCCTGGTAGAAACTCGAGCAACCCCTCGGGCAGCGCGGTGGATGCCTCTTTGTTTCTCTTCTTGTTCGATCCCTCGGTTCCCGGCTTGTTCTTCTCTGTCCGACCGCAAAAGGGGGAATTTGGCGGGGATCGCACGTGTCGAGCAGCATGCGAAATTCGAGCCGGGGTCTGACTGGTACGCGAGAACGCACGCGTATACGCGTTACACTCGACCTACCTTGCCGGATTGCCCGCGGCCCTCCGCGAGCGGATGCGCGCTCTTGCGACACGCACCGCGTGGAATATCTAATTAGCCGAGAAATCGCGATTGCCATAATCGCCTTCGGCTTCGATTGCCTAAGCTTCGCTTCGAGATCGAAATTAAAAAAATCTCCCGGTAAACAAATAAACGGTTTCTCCTCGAAGAAACCAACAACGTAAATACAATGTTTGGTACAGATAACCCTTCCTTCTCGCGAAGAGCTGAAGCATCCGGAATCGAACGGCAACAGCTCGTCGCAACGCGATAAACTTTTTATCTCTGCTGACCTTATCGGGAAAGTTACTTTAGTTTTTCAACCAATTCGTGGCGAAACTCGCGACGTTCGAGGAGTCACGGACGAGAAGAACGATAGAAGGTCTCAGCATATTCGACTGGTCGGTGAATTACATTAGGGGATCCAAATATTGGAGCACCTCTTCTGTTCCAGCCCGGTCAAACTGTTTGACTTAGCGATTGTTCTTGCTCGGACGTCGAACCGAGTCCCGTGCCGCAAACTCTGCCTCGTCAGCGACGGGACAACGCTTGCTTCCGCTAATCCCGAAAGCGGCTTAAGGCAAACACGCTTGCTTTCCCATGGGAACCTCCTTTCCTTGCTTACCTGACAAAGATTCGACCGTGTAAACATCTACCACCTCTACGTACGATAAAAATACTGGATCCTTGGTTTTTCATCGAAATAATCAATTTATTCGCGTCATTACAATTCCAAAATCAATAATTTCACAAATGGAACCTTGGTCTACCGGAATTACTTCACTTTTTAGGACAATACTTTATGGGGATGCAGATATCCCTTCTGTTCCTAGCGTAGCCATCTTTGCAATAACAATCATCGTTACATCTCTACAAAACAGAAACGCCATGATAAAAATCTATTTACAAGAATGAACGAGCGAAATCGAGCAACTCTGAACCACAGCATAGACTCACGATGTTCACGATTGGACATGGTTGACCTAGATTGTCGCAAGTAGTTTGACAAGCTGATCCGCACTGATACTCCTCGTTTGGCATGTCACAGATTATTCTTCTGGCCAGTGTGGCTAAAAATATCAAACTCGACGTTGTCACAAATCAATTGTTATACTTCGAACGATGGATAACTTACTGGAAAACAACACCACCAAAGCGACGAACAACGCAAAAATAATCTTCATCGTTATTGTTTCGTGTCCTTCTGAACTAATGCGTGCAACTAACAAACAGAAGCTTATATACGTTTCATGAATTCTTATCGGAAAACTGAATCAACCAAACGCGTCAGAAACACAAGGCTGCTGCAATTATGTGCAAAACTACTTGGAGACCCCCTAATTTTTCTTACTATTAACAGTTATAAAATTACCGTTTCTCCGCATCTTTCTTTATAAATATTTTCTTTCATCGCCAACAATCGTGAAACTCGTATTTTACTCGTTATCGAAGATGTTATTCCAATAACAATCGAAACAAAACGAAGAAGAACCGCGTAACGGGAAAGCCCGTCGATACAAAGTTTCATCAGAGGGATTATCTCGTCGCTCTGCCTCTTTTGTGCCGTCTCGTTTCTTCTTCCGTCGTTCCACGAACTCCGGACATTCTTTTAAAGAAGAGCGACTGTCAGTTCGAAAGGTCGCGAACGAGATAATTAGAAGCGACTATCAAAGTGGCTGATTACGAACACGGAATGGATGCGAACAGCGCGGCATTTCGAAAGAAAACGACGGGCAAAAGTTTGCAAACACTAGAATACGAAGAGGGAACTGGGAATTTTATGGAAGTATGCCGTTGCTGTTATTTCGAAGAAGGCTGTGCATATTCGCACGCGGGAAATCCCTGAGTATCGTTAAACACGTGAGTCATGGTTTATCTATGAACTTGCGTTCTATAAATGAAGTATAATTGATGAGAAGAGAACCGGCGATGTCCTCGAAACATATGATGGCCTTAGGCACACGTAACTTCTTATCGGAAATGAAAAATTCAACGTGTGTATAAATGGTTTCGGATAAACGAATCAATAAATTCATGAACTTTTTATGTAATGTTCGAAAAAAATGTAAAAAATTGAGAATAATGAGGGTTGAATTCATTCTTATTCATTGAACTTAATAAAAAAGAAATAATTTCAAATGCTTGAATATTTTAAAATGCAGAGCTGTGATAGTGCATGTAAATGGAACGCAGTTAAGGCCATTTTTCAAAATGATATGTTCAAAGTGATATTTATTTAAATTATACTTCATCTAGCCCAGGAAACGAATATGTTGAACACTCCTTATACTAAAAACAAAGGAGCCCCCTTCACCCTGCATATCTAATTTGCATCAAGCACTACAGCAAATCCTTCACGAGGTAAAATAATGGTAACTCGAGGAGGACCTTAACGGCTTTGAAATCTTGCAGATGTCACAAAGCAAAATGGTCGAATAAGTGAGTAAAATTAAAAGGTGCCCTAACAATCGTTCCCTCTCATCAACTACCTCACTGAAGCTGCTCTCAAGAAGAGAAAACGTTGGCCGCTGATTGGACGCGTTAATATCGGGTCAGTGTGTCAAAGCGGTCGTTTTAAAGGGGGTAAAATGGTGACACAAAGGAGGCACGCTCGTCTCCTGTAACGGTGACGTCGCAGAGGGGTGAAAAGTGGAGCAAAGAGCGAAGGGTAGCGAGCAGGATGGAAGGAAGAAGGGAAACGACAGGCGAACAGGGTAACTCGAGGACCTCCAATCGTGTTTTCTGTCATCGTTGGCTGCTGGTAGTAGTTGACGAGAAAAGACCGACAGAATGCACATAAACGATAAAAAATAAAATCCACAAAAGCAGATAAAAAACAAACTATTCATTGTTATGTATCAATCATTCATTCATTGCAAATGATTGCTTCTAATTTAAACTACACGATCTCCTAATTATACGTCATAGAGATGTAGAAAACAGTAGAAAGTGATATAAAAAACGACTGAAATGTGAAAATTGAAGTATTTCTTTCTATTCGACATCCCTTATTGATTGAAATATTAAAATTTCAATGTTCACTGTCGTGCCAGGCACAGAAGGGTGCAGAGGCAACAAAGTATAAAAATCTTGTGGAACATGCGAGCGTACTTACGACGGTCCTCCACTTGTAACTTGCCCCGCGATAACTTCTGCTTTTCTAAATTAATTCTCATCTATTTTTCAGGAATTCACCATTAATTTGTACGTTTTCTTTACTGCAAAGCTAACTACGTAAGAAACAGCATTGCTGCTTGCGTGTTACCTGAAGAATGTTAAATTCCTTCTCGTTTGTGTTCTGTTAAGTTAATAAGCTAATTAAGCTAATAATAGCGCTCAAATTAAAATTTTTCAAATTTATCGTGGTTGCATTATTCTCTCCGAGGCAGTTTTTCGAAAACAATTAAGAAATACTGTTTTGGTGTTATTCATTATTCAACGTTACGTAAGTTAATATCTATTTTCTTCTACTATTACGATTAATCAATTTACCTCGAGCTGTCATTTTTATGATAAATTTAGACAAATTATACAACTTCATCAGCACGTGTTACTGTGAAATGTAGATAACCATTATGCGAAGGAGGTATAAAAGACAACCACAACGCGTAAATCGGAATAAAGTAAAGTTTTAAGTTTACACAGTATGGCTCGTGCAGGAGTAATTGTTTTGCTTTTAATAGCGATAATTGCTGGCGCAAGTACGATTAATTTTTTTTATTCAATGTATCACGAGATCCCTTATCAATTGTGATATTAAAATTTCAATGTTAACAGTGACGTCAAGCGTGGGAGGCTGTGGAGAAAACGAAAAATGGTCAAAGTGTAATGGACACTGTGACAACTTTTGCAACGCGAAATCTACTGCTTGCATCACGGTAATTGCCCATTTTTAAAATCAATTTTGATATGTTTTTTTTCACGAGTTCGCGATTAATTTGTACATTTTTTTAGCGATGCATCTCTGGATGTCATTGTGCACCTGGTTACGTAAGAAACCAAGCGCGTGCTTGCGTTTTGCCCGAAAATTGTTAAATATCAAGCAAACAATGTATCGTTTTAATAACGCTTGAATTAAAATATTAAAAAAGAAATCCTGGTTGCTTTATTCTTGCCGAGAAACGTGTGCTTTCAGTCGTGTAATAATATGTAAATGTCACTTGTCCAAATGAACAACGAGAGAGACCAAGATGATGTAACTGCAATGACCCAGCGGAAGGTCACGACTATAATCTTACGATAGAGTCGTCGTAATACTCACGAATCAATATTATCAAATAAGAACAAACGTTAAATCGTACCAAAAAATATAATAGTATTATATTAAATTGTTACGTATCAAATAACTGATTTCGAAACGTAAAAGTACCTAAAAATAGCACTTACAGCACGTCAATTTGAAGCTTAAAGTTTAACAAAAAAGACTACATAAACAATTCATCAAGATTGTTTATACAAATAGAATGATTCTGTATTGCAACAAAGAATTAGCGTATGTCCCATCACCAAACGCTTATATCTCAAAAATCGCTTATTTTAAAAATATTGATGAAACATTTATGTAGTCATTTTTATTAAACTTTAAGCTACAATTTGACCTGCCACAAGTGTGATTTCGCGATACTTTTATGTCACCAAATAGTGTCTAAAGCAATGCACCAAATTTCTTCTTAAATTCTTCAAATGCAAACAATTACCATCTGTAACTGCAAAGAGATCCCTGCGAATATTTCTGAAATTGGTGAAAATTAACGGAAATACAAAATGAGTAAGTGTAAAATGGCACCGAAGACAAAGGCACCCATTGATTGTCCAAGAAGGTCGTTCGCAAAATGAACGAACGTCCTAACTTCCTAGTTTGCCAGTAATATTTCTTTGACGTATGATTTACTGGACGAGAAGAGGAGGTAGGAGAGGAAGAAGATGAGCAGAGAAAAAAAGGAACAGAGAGGCGGGAGATCGTGTACCGAGTGATTTCGTAAGACCGCTATATAAAGGCTGGTAGATGGACAAGTTTTAGTCAGTCAAGTTTTGAGTCCAGAAACTTATTCAAGAAACAAGTCAACAATGTCCCGCACTCTGTTCGTCCTGTTCGTCGTTTTGGCGTTGTTCTCTATCAGTAAGTATAACACCTGTCGATGACTAAACCTCGCGTGCTTCTATTTAACTGACAAACCCCTAAATATCTAAAGGGAGTAACCTGGATTCCCTACATTCGAATATTTTGTCCTAATTTTTTTTGCCAACTATTTGTAATTATTTTTATTCCTAAGTCTTATATTATCTTTAAAGGTTCGCACGCTCAGCAATGTGGAGTGAACGAGGAGTTCAAGAGCTGTGGATCAGCCTGCGAACCCAGTTGTGTTAAACCAAAAGTCGACATTTGCACCATGGTTAGTATTATAATTTTTCATTAAATATATGAGTTTATTATACTACATATTTTCTAAATGAAAAATGATCGGAATTGTATAAAAATCACGATTCATTATATTAATTTTGTATATTTCCTACGTTCATCTTTTGATTTTTTATTGATTACCAGGAATGTAAAATTGGTTGCCAATGTAAAGATGGATACGTGAGAAGCGGTGATGGGCAATGTGTTCTAGAAAAAGACTGTTCAAACTGAAGCCTTCGTCAACTGCTTATCTATTATGTACTTCCTAATTTTTCTTACTTATCAATGATGTCGATCTTCTGACCTTTCGGAGCTGATTCAGCGCAAGAAATGTACCGATAATAAAAATAAACTGGTGTTGTGAAATCTTACTACTTTGTGTATTTATTCATTACGAACCGTTTATTCAATGTTTGATTCGTTTGTAGAAGGGATTAAAAGGCGTAAAGAAAGAAAATAAAGTTGTTCGGTTATGTAAAAATTCGCAACTGTTCAAATACAACCAATTCTACTAAAATTATTACGTGTTCTCGTAAGATCGTTATGATACATTGATTTCGAGACGAGAATTTGTGTCTCCAACAAAGGTACAATTACCTGGTTAAAAGAATAAACCCGCGGATATGTATTAGTCAATTTGAACAATGATTACACGTCGGTGTAAATAAAGTATTCGCGGTATAAAAAGGAACCGGCAAGAAAATTGCATCGCATAATAGGCGATTGTGTTGAACTTAATTGATGCAGTATAATTGTGAAGAAAATGAAATTGATAACTCTGACGACTGTTACTATATTTCTAGTTTGTCTGACATGTAAGTGCATCTTTTCTCTCTCCACTCGAATCAAATCCAAAGTGTTGCAGCGAATTTTCATTGAACGCGTTAAAAAAGAAAATTGAAAACACCGAGAAAACGTATTCTTTCAGCCGTTCCAAATGGCGTACTCGCTTCCACTAGAGAAGCAGTAACATTGAGCACTTCCACACCCGGTAAGTCTTTCTAGCTCCTAAAATATTTCACATTTATTTAATTGTCGATTCCCGTTCAGCTCCGTTCACGGAAAATTCAATAGAGTGCGGCAAGAACGAGGAACCCACAGACTGTGTTTCGTGTAACCCAACGTGCAAGGAGCTTTCTCCAGGAATTTGCCAAGGACCGGTGAGTAAAATGAAAGAAGCAATTTGGAAAATTCCATTAATTATCGTTAATTCCATCGTAGACATGCAAGCCAGGTTGCAAATGTCAAACGGGATACTTCAAAGACAGTGAAGGAAATTGTGTATCTGTACTTGGTTGCATCATGGATAACATACAAATTGAACGTGAGTAATAACGAATCAACCAAGTTTTCTAATTATTTCATGGAAAAGGAGAGTAAAATATTCCTGATAATTTCTTTTTCTTTTCTAGTTTCTCAATGGGAATTATCGACGGTAACCGCTCAGGAATAAAATTTCAACGCGTCTTTGGTCTCATCTCAACGATTCGCACATTTTGTAACAGATTACAGAAAATATCTTGAAAATAAAAAAATTAAGTTTGAATTCAGAGAAACGAGTGTTTTGATTTATTTATACCATCTTGTCTCCCAGTTTGTATACACAACATACATGTACACCTCGAATTGAACGCGGTCAATCGCATTAATTTAAGCAGATCTTGAACGATGTCAAAGTGCGCGGCCTCCCAATCGGATCAAAGCTCGTTAACAGTTCGATGTGCGTCCCAAATATGTTCTGATAACACTGTTATCACGCGACACGTAAGAAAAGATATATATGTGCTCGTTATTGCGGAATCGAACAATTTTATAAACTTTCCACCTTAATTGCATTGATTTCTATCTGATAACCGAGCGGTTTGATTAAGAGTTGATTAATCGACTCAAGTGACACAACTCGATTCGACAGGATAAACGTTTCTAAAAGCACGTTTCTTACCTCTGAGACTTTCGAATCTCTCAAAAATTCAAATCACAGAAAAAAATACTACGGTTCGTCGAACGAAGACGCGTTTCTGAGAACATCTTAACCGCGAGTAGTCGAGCAAACAGTGCAAAGTCAACCGAACGGCGAACCCGAGGACATTCGTAACAATGATTACCGGTATTTGCGAAAGATAAGCACTCCTTAGATCGTGGAAGGCGTGACCTATGATCAATTAGGTTGAAAACAAGGAATACGTAATCACATAATTACATGTATCCTTAATTATTTTTACCCTAATTTACCAACATTACCTAAGAATTTCTCTGAAATTTTACTTGAAATATTAGAAAGCTAAGTTCTGCTCAGAAATCTAAGACACACTCATACGAAAACTTCGTGGAAGCATTTTCCCAGGGAGAAAGTTTCCACTTGAAACGCGATAAAGAAAGGAAAAGAAGATTATCACGGAATTGCAATCGTGCAAGTTCAGAGACTTAAAGTACACGGTGTTCGTGTTGCATCAGTTCCCGCCAATCAAACGTTATTTACTTGTTGGTCAGTCGGAAAACAAGATATCAATCAGGTAACTGATGAACGATCGTCTGAAGTGGCGGTCGTTAATCAATGTGAATCAACGCGACGAAATCGAATGGTGGGACGTAGAAATTAGGAGTAGGTTCTACTTGAAAAGTATAAAAGCCGGACAACATCAGCAGATAACCATCATTCGTTAAGAATTGAACGAAACGAAATTCAACTATGTCTCGTGCAGCTATCCTTCTTCTGTTCGTCGTAGCAATTGCTTACACCAGTGAGTAGTCAAAAATAAATAAAATATTTTCGATAACAGAATGTACTTATTTTTATTTGAATTGTCGTGTCTTTGGTTTGGCCAAAGAAATTCGAATTAAGGTGTCTAATAAATTTGGTAATTTATTGCAGGTGCACATCCTCCACAGAGCGAGGATTCTTACAAGTGTGGTCCTAACGAAGTATTTAACGAATGTGGTTCACCTTGCCAGGACACCTGTGACAGACCAGCCTCCCTTATTTGCAGTTTGGTTAGTATCGAAACCCCATACAACTATTAGATTAATTAATTTTCTTTAGAGATTACTTCAAACGTGTCTGTGTGATTTTTGTTACAGGAATGTAAAATTGGTTGTCAGTGCAAACCAGGATACGTGAAGAATAAAGAGAACAGGTGCGTCCTTACTCGTGACTGCTGAGAGAACTCAGGACATAAGATCGACGATCAAGATTTAGATTAAATTCAGACGTATCCAACAGTTATGCACGATAGACAACTTCCTGCGCACCGGTGTAACTTGGATTTTTATTTAGTGTTACACGCTAAATGACTGTGACTAATACAGCTTCATTTTGTTAAGCTTAGTCACTTGAATGTTGATATAAATACTTGTACAAATTTGATAATATATAATTGTGAAAATAAATTATGACCGATTAACATATTACGAAAAGAGTTATTAATTCTTCCATAACACAAAGAGGTTCGATATAAATAAAAAGCAATCAATGAAATATGAGATTAATTTGAGGCAATATTAAACAGAAATTGTTATCGCATTCAATTTATTGATAACCCATCGAGTTTATCAGCCTTTTGTTCGCAACGTGGACGTTTCTATAAACTTCTTTCAAACGCGTATAAAAATATTATCTCAAAAGCCGGTCGATTATCAATCAATCATCCGTAACAATCAATGCGATTACCACGACGCAAAAGAAAGCTTTCACTAATTGAACAGAATCGAACAGCGACCTGCGAATCGATTTAATTTGACGTACATCGTGCCAATAGGTGCTTTGTGTCTCTTTAATCCTCCACCAGTGATAAATTCGCGTTAAAATTAGAGACGGTTGAGTAGACATAGCTGACTCATCCATTCTATGTTCTCGCGTCTTTAAGCCAGATAAGTACAGCATGATTCACTGATAATATCATTATAGATAACGTTCGTGCGTTTCATAACACACCTTAAAAAGAATCAAACGTGGAGCTGAGATTGAATTTAAATTGCTCTCTTAACGACCCGCCATTCGAACTCTGCAATCGCATTATTTCGATCAAACGCAACATACAGAGGAATAATGTCAAATAATTATTCGTGCTTGATCAATTTATTTTCTCATCGGTACATATTTATGTGGTAAGACCTAATATTCTATGAAAGATTAACAATTTTCACGTAAGACACATTGGTTCGCAGCGTTCCTGAAATATCCATCTTTGCAGAAACAGCCTGTAACACATTTCTAAACAACAGAAGATAGAAACATTGAAAGACCATTAGCTAACTGATAGAAATTAGATGAAAGGTTTGTTGATACTAACAGCGATGCAGTTTTTTGCTGGAGGTACCCCGCATTTAAGTGGGCAAGAGGTTCCACACATTTTGATGATTTCGTCACTAGGACAGAGCGGGACACGTCCCGATATACCGGCATAGCTCACTGTATAAATGAATAAATTAGCTTCCAAACGTCTAAACAAGAAAATACGAACGATACTTACAGCTAATGCACGCAATAGCAACGAGCAGAAGAAGTACAGCGAAACGAGGAGACATTTTCGAATACAGGTGTTAGAGTTTCTGAAGAAGTTTGAAAGCATTCTTAGGATCGACAACCTTTTATACATAAATTCTTGTCCTTCAAAACCTACGTTTCACTCGATATCGTTTTATCAGATTTATGTTTTTAAGTAATTAATTTCGATTGGAAATTATAAATAATCGATGTGCAAACACTACACTATTCATGAGTGGTCGATAATCTTAACGTGACATCCAAGTGTTCTGCGTTAAGTAATTTAGCATTGAACGTTGAAAAACACGAACAAATAGTGTTGAATTAGTGTTGAAATAATATTAGAGAGATAGTGATACAAGATTTTTAAATTCCTCTCGAGACAAAGGGTCCAGAGTGTAAGTACCGTGCGTCGCCGACCTTCCGGACGGATTCTCACCGGACTCCGAGGACCGAGAAAAAGTTTTCTAAAAAGATTGAACCGAAATTCTAAGTCGTTCTGTGTTGTTAATCTTCAAGGAACTTAATTAAATCATTAATTGGCAGGAGTTATAACGTGGCCAACGATGAGCCAACAAAGTGGATCAATTATTTACCGACAGAATAACGGATAGAGCGTAACAGAAATAGTAGAACGTAACGTGATTTCTACGACATAATAAATTCATCGGTGTGCAACCGCGTTTATCAAGGGTTGATGTTGAATTATCGGTGCGCAGCCATGGGTTAATGTTGCGCAGAGTAAACTTCTGTGCCAGCCAGCCTGTCTATTCGGCGTTGCTCGCGTGTACACGCCAGTCGGTTAAACGGGTTAATCCTCGCAAACGTGACTTTTCTCGCGTAACCAAACGATCCTAGTTGTTCGCCAGCGAATCTTGCTAGCCGTTAAATAAATTACCATCCACTTCTCGGGCCGCGAGCCGTGAAAACGCTGCCGGCAGCGAAAAAACAGGGCTAGCCACGGGCGATCCAATTAAAAGTTTCCGGAACAATTGAAAAACGAGTGATTCGATGAACCGAGCCGCGATCGTTAGGTAACTTTTTTAACGAGGAATCGCGTGAATCGTCGACCCACATAAACAATCCGTTCGATAAATCTGCTGTTTCTCGCAAATTTTTCCCTACAGTCGACGCATCAATGTCGCGGGAAAAACGTGATCCCCGATTACTCGAGTTCGCACTTTTCCCGCAAATCTCGATCTTGACGATCAAACAAACCGAGGACAAGGTATCCCGATCGTAAGGGGAACGTGACAGATACTGGATCCTAACCACGTGCGACCGGTTTCATCAGCGACGTTTCCAGCACAGTCTTCGAGGACCCTCGGGGAGAACTGAATCGTCAGCTTCGAAAGAAGGAAACGAGGGAGGCGATGGCAATACCGAGCGAAATTTCCTGGTATATTCCGGCGAAACCGGCTTCCTTTACGGCTGGTTGCTTCAATATGTTCCGCGGATAAAGCAGAACGTCCGACGTTCCTGGACGATGATAATACACTTTTCCAAATTGATCCCGGGACTATTGTCCCGTGGACGCGAATGGAATCACGGGGATCCCGCGGAATCGAGCAACACGATGTCGAGGGATTTTCCTGCCTTACAGTATTACGAAACTTTCCAGGATTTTAACCCTTTGCGGACGACGAACCCTTCAACCAAGTCCGCTGCTGTTGCAAGGGAGGAAACCCTATAAAACTTATTCTGAATTTCTTAAATCGCTACGTTTTCTTACGAGATAGTAGATCGAGCTGGTTCGATAAAGGCAAGAAAAACCACGTAACGTAATTTTCCACGGGACCGAGAGTGTCTATAAATTATCCTTGCCTCTAACGGTCCATTTACGAGCGAAAATTTCGACGTTCCAAAGTCTGAACGAGCGAGTCACCGTCGCGGCAGGCGATTTATGGAAATCGAAAACCTCAATAAACGTAGCAGTCGCAAATCTTTTGAGGAACGATCGTCTATCTTGCGTCTAGACGTACACCTCCGAAGATGTAGCATTATCTTCGGTACGTTCGAACCCTCTTTCTTAAGTTCACGAATCTTTCGGTAACGATAATCTGCATCGATAATAGATCGACGATTAACGACGAGTTTTCCATACGAAACGAAGAATTATGAAATTGATTGAATAGAGTCTGGCTGCGTTTACGCGACAACAAGATAGCGAATTAGGAGAACGATTAGATAAGAGGCGCGAATTGCTTGACCTATCGTGACGCGGTGCTCTTTTAATTAACTAGACCGATAGACTCGATTGATTGCCTTCGATTGTGCTTAATTGCTATGCAATGTGTTGATCGGTGAAGGGGATTCGCCTGGTCGTAGACGACCCGGTGTACGTTGCGCGATCTAATCAGTCAATTGCTAGGAGTATACTCGGTCATCGTGTTCTCAAAACGCGCCTCGAGTATGGCAACTACCAAAGAAACGATAATAGAGGTTTTCAGTAAAAATATCTTTGGAGATAATTGATTACGTTCGCCAGAAGAGTTGAATCAACATTGTGGAACTTTCGCCATAGGTGGCTTACAATAAACATCGATTGATGTATCAATCTTGTGGCACGTTTCTTATCACTATTTCTGCTTTTCATTCTGATGGAATGTTTCCAGTATAATCTTACTGACAATTTTCGAGTAAATACGAGTCGTTATCGATAAGCGAAACGAGCCTACGCCTATAAAAATTGGATCGCTCGATTCCAGTCGCGTTTGTACACTAAGAGTGTTGAAATTGTGATTGACTAAAAAAGTGTGGAAAAACTAGAAAGATTGATGGACCATTTTGGTAGACGGCAATCGAAGCACGAAAGCTTGTAACGCGAAAGCAGATTGCCTCGATCCAATTGAATCACCGAAACCTCGGACAGCCTCTGTCGCTCCCTAAGCCTAATATTCGAAATGGTCGACGAAACTTACGTGTCCTCGTTCATTTTCCTACGGTCGGACCGTAGGATCGTCGTTTAATCGTCCCTTTTCCCGCGTTCCTAGCTCGTATCGTGTCTAACGTGGTACGGTGGACGAAGCCACCCTTCCTCCTTCGAGACGATTTACCGCGAAGAAAAGAAGTTGCTCGACGCTCTGCGGGACAGATTCCTCTCCATTACGGAGATTGAGCTCGTTCTCGCGGACAAGCACGGTCGATACAGAAAATTACGGGCCGGGGAATGCGTTTCAGGAACGATCCAGCGAAAGCTTTCACGAACGTCCATGGGAAATTAACCATGGGAGGAGAGAGGTGGGAACGAGGAGCGGTTCGTTCGCTACACCCTCGTACGAAAGGGTTGCTTTTCACCTGTGCGATACCAGCTGCCTGCTAAAATATCAGGCACGCCTGTTCCACGTTGCCAGGGAAACACGCTCGTGTACGCGTCTGCATCGTCAAGGGGATCCTCTCCAGTGTCCATCCACGATGCCCACTCCACAGCCCATGGACATACGATCTGCCATTCGTTCGTTTCGAATTAAGCATTTGGAAAATTGCATTCCTTCGATACCGAGGGAATTTCAGGCGTAGATTTTCCGATTGCTTTCTTTCACAATAGTTCTACTCTTTCGATAGTAGATTAGAGTTAGGAAAAATTCACGATTATGAAACGCGTAGTACGTTGACTTTTCTTTCTCTTCTATGCAAGCCAATCGAGTCGATTCGCATGCAACGCGCGAATTCGCCCGGTTAACCGTTCCACTTCGCATAAAAGATCGGGATAGAAGCGTTTACCGTGACGCTGCTCGCTCGATCCTCTCGCGATGCAATCGCGCCGCGTACCTGCACGTATCTCGCGGCGAACGCGAACCACGTGCATCCTTGAGCTGCTTCGAGGTTCGTGAACCTGCCGTGCCGTTGCCTCTCGACGAACACGCAAATCAAACGACCGGTCGAATTACAAATTGACACGAGCGAGCACGATGTGAACGGGCAA